AGCCAGCAGCAGCAGCTTGCCCCTGGGCACCCTCATGGGCAAGCAGCACCCCATCGAGGCTCGCCACTTCAGCAGCATCTGTGACATCATGGAGAAAGCCATGGTCAACAGGGACACCTGCATCATCCGCTGCATCCTGGTGGTGTTCCAGGTACGGTGGAGCTGGAGAACCAGCCTGCTACTGCAGGGGTATTCAATCGGTATTGAATTTTATGAACATAGCTAGCAACAACAGAATAAACAAAGTATTATTTCTTATTATGTCAACTCCTAATATTGAGCAAATTACACTCATTGGAGCCAATTACACTCACTTGAGTATCTGACATAGGCTTTGAAAAATCACCCACGACTAGGCTACCAGTGCGGCAAATGGCTGGCTGGTTGTAAGCTTTCTTGACTTTTATTTTTGCCAACACATGGCTAACCTTTGTTTAACCAGCTGCTGTTAACGAAAATGTGTTTGGAGTTACCTTTCTAGCTAATAGGCTATGTTAGAGTTTACACTTCCTCTTTCAATTAAAATGTGGGGAGGTCAAAATAATAAATAAAATATTTACCAAATCTATTCATTTGAACATCTTGAATACTTCTCCTTGCCATTATCATTCACTGATGACAAGACGTGATTTTAAAATGTTGATTTGCTAACGTATGATGGGGTCCCTGGGTCGCCGGTTTGCCTGGGAAGGTGTTCCTTGGCCAGTCAAGTTTGAAGACCCCTGTGCTACTGTGATGCTACCTGGAGTCCAACTGATGTATAAATCACTCATTTTTACACATTGGTGTTTGCTGTTCAGGTGGTGTTCAGGTTCTTCAACCCTCAGTCACAGCAGAACAGGGAGAGCGTGCGGCGTTCAGGTCTGCTCCTGTGGCAGCTGCTCATGGCTCCTGTGGATCAGATCGGAGCAGAGATCCAGGGAGAAGTGTGCCTGGCTATCAGGTGAACACAACTCAGTACAGCACAAAGCCATAACCATAAACACAGGACACATATAAAGACATTAACTTTGAGACAACTATCTGTCCTGTGATTGACACCTACTGTCATTGTCTATCTATCCTTCCTTCTCTATAGCTCGGGTTTGAATACCTTGTATCAGGGGGAGACTGAACTCAGTAATCTGCTGAAGCTGGTCCTGACAGAAGGTGATAGTTGCAACCTACTCATTGGGTTTTATGCACACTCTTAACACACATTCCAATCATGTTTGTATCTCAAATACCTGGTACACTGGAAGTATTGAAGGAGTTCTATGTGCTCTTTAGGGGAGAGGAACAGTGGTCTGTCTCAGCTCCGCGATGTCATCCTCACCAACCTGGCTGACCAGCTGCAGAAAAATCGATTTGGGAGTGATGAAGATGACCACTACAGGTAGAGTCCAGCTTTTGCAGACATTTGCTCAACACTTTTTGCAATGTCTTGTATTCCTGCTTGAAAAATAACTCTCAATTCCTCCCCTAACCAGAGCTGAATGGTTTCACTGAGTAACCTGATGCCATAAAATGTTCTATCCCATTAAGAATAATGCAATATGACACTCTCCTGTGTAAGAGGGTTGTTCAGCTGAATCAGTCGGATTATCTCTCTCCTGTGTTTCCCCTTCAGACTAAGTGATGAACTCCTGCACTGCATCCTGAAGACCGTTGTCCGTGAATCCTGCCTCCTTATCACTAAATGTCAGACTGTCGCAAGGGACGACTTCCAGAAGCTTCTCTCCACTGTGCCAGTATGTGTCTCTGTGTCTGTTCAACAACACCAGTATGTGTATTTGTCTCTCTCTGCTCAACTACACCAAGGAGCATCTGTGCCTGGGCTTTGTCTGTTGTCCAATCAGCAGTAGGTTGTGTGTTAGCTGTTGCATACTGACTTGTAGTCCCCCTCCCTCCTTCCCCTCTACCAGGTGGCCTCATCAAGCCTGCGCTACCTCATGGCCGTTCAGAACCACTTGCTTAGCAACACCATTCTGATCCGCCCCGATGACAACGATGACAGTGACAGCTCCCTACAAGAGGAAACAATGAAGGTACAGGTAAACACCCCTTTTGAATACCCCTACTGCTGTCTGTCCATGTGGAGTCTCTCTCTCTCTCTGTGTCTCTCTCTCTCTGTGTGTCTCTCTCTCTCTCTGTGTCTCTCTCGCTCTCTGTGTCTCTCTCGCTCTCTCTCTCTGTGTCTCTCTCGCTCTCTCTCTCTGTGTCTCTCTCGCTCTCTCTCTCTGTGTCTCTCTCGCTCTCTCTCTCTGTGTCTCTCTCGCTCTCTCTCTCTGTGTCTCTCTCTCTCTCTGTCTCTCTCTCTCTCTCTGTGTCTCTCTCGTCTCTCTCTGGTTTCTCTCTCTCGCTTGTCTCTCTCTTCGCGTGTGTTCTCTCTCTCTTCTCGTGTCTCTCTCTCTCTCTCTTCTCTCTCTCTCTCTCTCGTCTGTGTCTCCTCTCTCTCTCTCTCGTCTCTCGTCTTCTCTCTCTCTCTCTCTTCTCTCTCTCTTCTCTCTTCTCAATCTATCTCTGATCTCTCTCTCTATCTCGCTATTCTCTCTCTCTCTCTCTCTGTTGGTGTTTGTCTCTCTCTCTCTCTCTCTCTCTCTCTCTCTCTCTCTCTCTCTCTCTCTGTGTCTCTCTCTGTATCTGTATCTCTCTCTCTCTCTTTCTCTCTCTGTCTCTGGGGCCTGAATTGCTGCAGCAATAGAGCAAGGATATTCAATCGTGACAGCATAGCCACCGCATTTAGCATGTTCAACAATAAGCCCTTTTTTATTACAAACACCTAAACTTATTTTTGTTTAACCTTTGTTATAGTGTTGATTTGTAAACAAGTTCAGAAGTTATGTATTAATGACGTGTGGTCGTTTTCCTGTTAGAAACAAGTAGGCACTGTTACGGAAGCGTTGCCTTTTCTCTGTGTGTGGTTCCCAGGAGTTGCAGACCAGCATCCTGTCGCTGGCCACCAAGATCCTGATGGGGTGTGACGAGGTGCTGGAGACCCTGCAGCAGGTGACCGCCGCCCTCATCAACAGTGACATCACCGACCGAGAGACCAGGTGACCCTCACCCCTCTACCTCTGCTTTTCCTGTTACCTGTCAACCTGTCATTTTACCCCTTGTCTGCCTACCCCTAACTCTCTTGACCTTTTGCCTGTGTATCTGCATGTTCCCCTTGTATGCATATGAATCCCTTTCTATGCATTTCCCTTTCTGTCTGCCTCTCTCTTCTACATACCTCTCATCCCACTTTTCTCTCTCATCCTCGTTCCTCCGATTCGTCTCTCATCCTCATCCCTCCTCTTCCTGTCTCCTCTTCTCTCCCCTCTTCCTCGCTCCTCCCGGTCCGCAGGCTGAAGGGCTTGGAGCAGATTACCAAGGCTACCATGCTGGGGCACCTGCTGCCAGTGCTGCTCACCTCTCTGATGCACCCCAACCTGCAGACACTCAATTTGGCTGACGCTCTCATGCCCCAACTAGTGCAGCTAGTCCTCTACACCAGCCAGGTGGGGGCACTCAAGCAAACGGACCTGTCTAACCTCAATGTAGATATTCTTCTCTAGATTAGAAGTTCTGTCTGTCATCTCTGGTTTCTGTGGTGGAAGATGGGTAGACGTGTGATGATTGTTAATTGAATGTTGATGATAGTTGGGAAGGAGAATTAGTATATATTTATAATATGGGTTTCTCCTGGTCATTTCCCAGACTGCTCTGCTGCTGAAGACCCAGTCTCCTCTCTTAACTGACAGCACTCCACTGGTAGGAGGGCCGCTGGGCCAAAAGATGCCTGCTGCTGATGACCGGTAAGTGTACACACGGTCCTCTGTAGGCAAGATTTATCAGGATCATAAGCCTGGTTTTCCAAGTGTGTTTGTGTATCTCTGTCCCTGATGACTGTTCCTCTGTCCTGCTCCAGCTTTAGAATCCTAGATGAGCGGGAGGAGCCAGGCTTCCTGACAGGCCTGAAGATCCCTGCCCCGTGGGCTGCTGGGAAGACGGTGGAGACGGTCCACCCGGTGCGAGACAACTATAAGTTCAAAGAGACGGTACACATCCCAGGAGCACGCTGCCTCTACCTGCGCTTCGACTCCCGCTGCTCCTCACAGTACGACTACGACAAGGTGACCAATCCCTGCACCTCTACACCCCACATCACATTTCCATATTAAAGCTGTGGCATAACATGACTAATCTAGTTTGTCATTGCAAAGCTCTATGAGGAAGAGTATTTACTTGGTCTTTTCTCTCTGGTTTTCCAGTTGGTGATGTATGCCGGGCCTAACACTAACAGTCGCAAGGTGACTGAGTATGGAGGCAACACTCTGGGTTATGGCAGTCGCAGTGTACTGGGGACAGGTTGGCCCAAAGACCTGGTCAAGGTGGAGGGAGACACAGTGACGTTTTCCTTTGAGATGAGGAGTGGGCGCGAGCACAACACCCCAGACAAAGCCATGTGGGGGTTCTCCTGCACTGTCCGAGCCCAGGTACACATAGCTGTGGAGTTAGATCACTGCACTGTTGTAAATACAGCATGAGTTCTGGCATGTTGCTGCCATGTTTGACATACACAACCAGACATTGTTACATTGTTACATAGATCTGTCTCTGTTTTCCCGCTACAGGAGTCATCAGAGGATGTCTCTGGGGGTCTCCCCTTCCTGGCAGACCTGGCGTTGGGTCTGTCTGTACTAGCCTGCTCCATGCTCCGCATCCTTTACAACGGACCTGAAGTAACACGAGAGGAGGACGCCTGCCATGACCTGCTCTGCTCCAAGCTGCTCCAAAGGTGACACAGCATAAATGGAGAATGATACAGAGCACACACTATAGATAGCACAAATGCACTGCAGTGTAGCAGCACAGTCATATACAGCTATAACCAACTTAATAAGTTGGTAAAATAACACAGGTGACACAGTGGCAGAGAGTGGGTACCAGGACAGCAGAGACTAACTGCTGTCTATTTCCTTCAGGTGCCAATGGCAGGTGGAGGCTAATGGTGCCATCTCTCCAGCCCTAACCCCCAGCCCCTCGCCCCTACCCCTCACCATCGAGGAGGACCGGGAGTTCACCTACCCCTCTGACGTGCTCATCCCTCACCCGGGCCTCATGCCTGGGGCCTACTTTGACCTGCCCCGCATCCGCCTGCCTCCAGGCATCATGAGCCGGCTAAGAGAGGTGTCCGGCAGGGCGCGGCCACAGTTCCGTCCCAGCATCAAGTAAGAAGGGGTGATGATATATACGGCAGGAATGCACAACTGCCATTCTAATTCTATTTTAACCAGTCATTACTGCCTATCCTCACCCACTTTCTCTCTGACTTGCCCTTGTCAGGGAGGTGATCAGGCCAGACGTTATGGAGGAGGTCATAGTGTCCTGTGTGATAAAGCACCTGACGCTGGTGGATGCTCTCCAGTCACTTGTCAACTTCCAGTACCGTGAGGAGCACGCTGAGGAGTACGACCTGCTCTGTAAGATCATGGCCGAGACTTTCAAGAAGATCAACGCCATGGAGCGCCAGCTGCAGGTACATAAGTGGCTAGTATAGCCTGCTTTTCCCTCTCAAAGTGTGTATGTGTATAACCTTGTCTGTTGCCCTCCCTCAGAGTGTAGCAGAGCTGGAGCAGAAGTGGCAGAATGAGGTGGAGGAAGCTCAGCAGGGAAAGCTGGAGAACAATGCTCCTTTCTTCCATGACTATCACTTCTTTGAGGTACGCATCCCTTTACCTCTAATTCTCCACAGATTCTCATAAAGTTGTGCACTGTTCAGCAAATATCATTTGTTTTTGTTTCTCCAGAACAAAATGAAGGAACTTGAATTGCTTTGTTCACTGAAGGAGGTCCCACTGGACTGGAGTGATTTGGAAAACGTTGTCCTCACACTGAGGTAAGACATTGGAGAAGAGCGAAGTGACGATACAGATGTTAGACTGCTGAGGTAACATCTACATTGCTTAGATGACATATCTTCCTCCAATGTTGTCTTCTGGTTTATCATCTGCATTTGTCCACAGGGAGAAGTTCTTCCAGGAGGTGAACTCCATCCACCTGAAGAGTGCTGTGCCGCTGGCCAAAACCAAAGCCCTGGTGAAGAGCCTGATGAACCGCACAGAGCTGCTGCTTCACGTCACCATCGCTCCTCACTGCAGGAGCCTGACCACCACGCCTGCTGGCACGCCAGGTACCCCTCAGCTTACACCTCCTTACATTACACCTCCACATCCTACACCCCCTAGCCTACACCTCCACAGCCTACACCCCCTAGCCTACACCTCCACAGCCTGCACCCCCTAGCCTACACCTCCACAGCCTGCCTACACCTCCACAGCCTACACCCCCTAGCCTACACCTCCACAGCCTGCACCCCCTAGCCTACACCTCCACAGCCTGCACCCCCTAGCCTACACCTCCACAGCCTACACCCCCTAGCCTACACCTCCACAGCCTGCACCCCCTAGCCTACACCTCCACAGCCTGCACCCCCTAGCCTACACCTCCACAGCCTACAACTCCCTAGCTTACACCTGCTTCTCTATAGCCCTCTCCTGATTTACTTTGACTGCCTGCATGTAGTATGATAAAATAGAGGTAACCGATTCTGGTTTTTTGTTGTTGTGTGGCAGCTTGTAAGTCTGTGTCAGACACTAAGACGGTAGTCCCCGGGGTGAAGCAGCCAGTCTTCCTGCGCAGCATGTCTGCACCCTCTGACCTGGAGATGATCACCAACCAGGACCTGGAGTTCCCTCACAGCAGCCAAAGGTTCACTGTCCACTGAAATCTCTTTGATACAGAGAAAGTGGATTACAAGCATAACTACACTAAGTTGATGATGAATGGAGAGAGTACTCACCCCTCTACTTTGTTCTCCTCTACTATAGGAGGCGACACCACCCCACCAGTCACCGCAGCAGCTCCTTCACACTGCTGCAGTCTCTAGCCATGGAGGACATCCGGGACAAGCCAACGTACAGTGTGCTGCTGGGACAGCTCTTTGCGTTCATAGGGACCATGCCCGACCAGTCTGTAAGTCCAGTCCTCCGCCACAGTCACTGCACATTGAATTCTGTGTTTTTGGTGCCAAACAATTAGAGAAGTTGAGTCTATTCATATTTTACCCTAGTTCTGCCTCCTACAGGTGTCCAGCAGCAGTTTCCTGTCTGCGGCTCAGACACGGTGGAGGCGGGGCAGCACGAGGAAACAGGCCCTGGTTCACATGAGGGAGCTGCTCACTGCTGCAGTCAGGGTGGGCGGGGTCACTCACCTGGTGGGCCCTGTTACCATGGTGCTGCAGGGAGGGCCCAGGTAAGGGATGGACACAAAGTTTCCTTTCACAATATAACAATGCAATTGAATTATATTTAACACTAAACAATAACTTGACAGATATGAATGAATATATATATATATACATTAAAGATGGAAAAGGAATCAAACGTTATGTTTTTCACCCACAACCCCCCCCCCCCCCCCCCCACAACAACTATTACAACAACAAAAAAGGAAAAACTAAACACAAAACAAAAGACCCTACCCCTACCAGTCATTTATGTATGTATGTAGTCTATCAAGTCATTTGCATATTGTATTCTCTTTTTATCTTTACATTTTACATTTTAGTCATTTAGCAGACGCTCTTATCCAGAGTGCAAAAATGTTCATACATTTTATCTCTGAGAGAAAATGTCCCCAGATGTCAGAAAAGCTATCGAATATACCATTAATTTTATAAGGCAATCTTTCATACGAAGTTTTTGCCAGGGCTATGTACCATTCCTTATATAAGGGAGGGTCCTTCTCCCTCCGGTGTCTCAAAATGACTATTTTGGCTGTGGTTAAAGCAACTGTTAGCCAGTTTAAACATGAGCTTCTCAGTCTATCAAAATCCTTAGTGATATTCAGTAATAGCAAAGCAGGTATTGTGGTACTCTGAGTATCCCCAATCTTTTCCATTACCCTCTTTGCAGATCTTCTCCAAGTCATTAAGGTTTCAAGGCTGACGTTTGGCAACTCGAACCTTCAGCTCCCTCCACAGATTTTCTATGGGATTAAGGTCTGGAGACTGGCTAGGCCAATGTGCTTCTTCTTGAGCCACTCCTTTGTTGCCTTGGCCGTGTGTTTTGGGTCATTGTCATGCTGGAATACCCATCCACGACCCATTTTCAATGCCCTGGCTGAGGGAAGGAGGTTCTCACCCAAGATTTGACGGTACATGGCACCGTCCATCGTCCCTTTGATGCGGTGAAGTTGTCTTGTCCCCTTAGCAGAAAAAAACCCCCAAAGCATAATGTTTCCACCTCCATGTTTGACGTGGGGATGGTGTTCTTGGGGTCATAGGCAGCATTCCTCCTCCTCCAAACACGGCGAGTTGAGTTGATGCCAAAGAGCTCGATTTTGGTCTCATCTGACCACAACACTTTCACCCAGTTCTCCTCTGAATCATTCAGATGTTCATTGGCAAACTTCAGACGGGCCTGTATATGTGCTTTCTTGAGCAGGGAGACCTTGCGGGCGCTGCAGGATTTCAGTCCTTCACGGCGTAGTGTGTTACCAATTGTTTTCTTGGTGACTATGGTTCCAGCTGCCTTGAGATCATTGACAAGATCCTCCCGTGTAGTTATGGGCTGATTCCTCACCGTTCTCATGATCATTGCAACTCCACGAGGTGAGATCTTGCATGGAGCCCCACGCCGAGGGAGATTGAAATTTTGTGTTTCTTCCATTTGTGAATAATCGCACCAACTGTTGTCACCTTCTAACCAAGCTGCTTGGCGATGGTCTTGTAGCCCATTCCAGCCTTGTGTAGGTCTACAATCTTGTCCCTGACATCCTTGGAGAGCTCTTTGGTCTTGGCCATGTTGAAGAGTTTGGAATCTGATTGATTGATTGCTTCTGTGGACAGGTGTCTTTTATACAGGTAACAAGCTGAGATTAGGAGCACTCCCTAATCTCAGCTCATTACCTGTATAAAAGACACCTGGGAGCCAGAAATCTTTCTGGTTGAGAGGGGGTCAAATACTTATTTCCCTCATTAAAATGCAAATCAATTTATAACATTTTTGACATGCGTTTTTCTGGATTTTTTGGTTGTTATTCTGTCTCTCACTGTTCAAATAAACCTACCATTAAAATTATAGACTGATCATTTCTTTGTCAGTGGGCAAACGTACAAAATCAGCAGGGGATCAAATACTTTTTCTCTCTCACTGTATATACACATACATACATACATACAGTGCATTCGGAAAGTATTCAGACCCCTTGACTTTTTCCCCATTTTGTTACGTTACAGCCTTATTCTTCATTGGATTAAATAAATAATTTTACTAATCAATCTACACACAATACCCCATAATTACAAAGTGATAAACGGTTTTTATAAAGTTTGAAAATGTATAAAAAATTATAACCATAAATACCTTATTTATAAACATATTCTGACCCTTTGCTATGAGACTCGGAATTGAGCTCCGGTGCATCCTGTTAACATTGATTATCCTTGATGTTTCTACAACTTGATTGGATTCCACCTGTGGTAAATTCAATTGATTGGACATGATTTGGAAAGGCACACACCTGTCTGCGAAAGTATTCACCCCCCCCCCCCCCCCCCCCTTGGCATTTTTCCTATTTTGTTGCCTTACATCTTGGAATTAAAATTGATTTTTTAGGGGTTTGTATCATTTGATTTACACAACATACCTACCACTTTGAAGATGCATAATATTTTTTCTTGTAAAACAAACAAGAAATAAGACAAAAAAAACAGAAAACCCTTCCCCAACATCTTAGACTCTAAAGAATGCATTAGAATCAGATTGGACCGGGCTTGTCTCATATGGAGGAGCATCTGTTGTACTATTTTGTTCCATTCCTCCTCTCCAAATTTTACCTCCAAGTCTTTTTCCCTATACGGTTGATATAGACACCCAATGTTCTTAATCCCCTTTCTATACCAATCTTTCCAGGAAACCATGTGCCCTCCTATTTTCAATTTAGGGTTATTCCATAATGAAGCAGAGATTGTCAAGAAAGGTGAAGATTTCTTTCTCTTACGAATATGACTCCATATATTTTTTGTATGGGACATTCTGCAGTCCCACCTTTTGTTCACTCATATAATCTGATGTTCCAAATGGGGCATTAAATTCTTCCATGTCCACCCAAATTGGCCTATTAGAGTTCTCAATAAAGAGAGTCTATATGGGCAGTTATAAAGGCTTCTTGATATATCTTCATGTTAGGGAGCTTTATTCCTCACTTCTCAGTCTTTGCCTGTAATCTCGCTAGATTCATCCTGGCCGTTTTACCGGCCCAAATAAACGGAGTAATCATTTTGCCTATGGTACAGACAGGTATGGACAGTGGTAACATGCTGATGACGTAATTCAGTTTAAGAGCCATGAGATTTGTATCTTATCCCAGTTCTTAAACTGGAGTTGAATTTTGTTCAATACTGGGTCAAGGTTTTCAGAAATCATGTTTTCTAGACCAGGATTTAAAGCGATCCCCAGGTACTTCAAGTTTTTAGGGACCCATTGAAACCTCCAGTTGAGGAAGTCATTTCTCAGACAATGTTTTGATAGGGGCATTACCTCGGTATAGATATCTCTGAAAATGCATTTACTAGGTCCAGTAAAGGCGATATGGAGAGTTGGGGGTCTGACATTAATAGTAATATGTTGTCTGCATAAAGCAGTAGTTTATTCTCCCAACCTCCCATAGTAACCCCTTTTATTGACTGATGCAGCTTAATGGCTTCGGCTAATGGTTCTAGTGCTATAATAAATGGAGGTGAGAGACTGTTACCTTCGTGCCTCGCCCTACTGTAAATGGAGATTATTGTAATCTGTTAGTGACTACTATGAATTTGGGGTTGTTGTACATACGTTTAAAAATATTCTGAGAGCCCTGTCCAAATCCAAATGTATTTAGTGTATAATGCAGGAGAAATTACATTTTATAAATGTATGTGTATCTGTGTCCTCTGTGCAGGATTGAGGAGCTGACCTGTGGGGGAATGGTGGAGAAGGTGCAGGAGGCCTTTGGGGAGACCATGACGTCTGTAGTGTCACTATGTGCCCGCTTCCCCATCGCTTGTTCTAACAGTATTGGCATGCTCTGCACCATCCCCTATACTAGGCAAGACAATTATTCTCTATCTTCTGAAATCCTCATGATACTCTTAGATAACTGCTTTGTTTGTTATCAGGAACAAACGACTCACCTCATTCTCCTGGCACACAAAAATGCCTGACTTCCCAGAATTGCCATCCTCTAAACCCCCACACGTCTGCCCATGTGTTCCTGTAGGAGTGAGGAGCAGTGCCTGGTGCGCAGTGGTCTGGTCCAGCTGATGGACCGCCTGTGCAGCCTGAGTGGCCAGAGGGACTGCAGCTCCAATGAGAAGCAGACCAAGAAGCAGAAGGTGGCCACCATGGCCTGGGCTGCCTTCCAGGTGCTTGCCAACCGCTGCATCGAGTGGGAGAAGGTGGAAGGTATGCAAGATAAGTTATTCCCCCCAAAAAAATGAGAATAATTTTCAGTCAGACGTTTCAAATGTCTTGATACTGCGCTGTGCCTTTTACAGTTGAAGTCGGAAGTTTACAACCACTCCACAAATTTCTTGTTAACAAACTAGTTTTGGCAAGTCGGTTAGGACATCTACTTTGTGCATGACACAAGTAATCTTTCCAACAATTGTTTACAGACAGATTATTTCACTTATAATTCACTGTATCAGAATTCTGTGGGTCAGAAGTTTACATACACTAAGTTGACTGTGCCTTTAAACAGCTTGGAAATCTCCAGAAAATGGCTTTAGAAGCTTCTGATAGGCTAATTGACATCATTTGAGTCAATTGGAGGTGTACCTGTGGATGTATTTCAAGGTCTACCTTCAAAGTCAGTGCCTCTTTGCTTGACATCATGGGATAATCAAAAGAAATCAGCCAAGACTTCAGAATTTTTTTTTTAGACCTCTGGGTCATCCTTGGGAGCAATTTCTAAACGCCTGAAGGTACCACGTTCATCTGTACAAACAATAGTACGCAAGTATAAACACCATGGGACCACGCAGCCGTCATAGCGCTCAGGAAGGAGACGCGTTCTGTCTCCTAGAGATGAACGTACTGCGAAAAGTGCAAATCAATCTCAGAACAACAGCAAAGGACCTTGTGAAGATGCTGGAGGAAACCGGTACAAAAGTATCTATATCCACAGTAAAACGAGTCCTGTATCGACATAACCTGAAAGGCTGCTCAGCAAGGAAGAAGCCACTGCTCCAAAACCGCCATAAAAAAGCCAGACTACGGTTTGCAACTGCACATGGGGACAAAGATCGTACTTTTTGGAGAAATGTCCTCTGGTCTGATGAAACAAAAATGGAACTGTTTGGCCATAATGAACATTGTTATGTTTGGAGTAAAAATGGTGAGGCTTGCAAGCCGAAGAACACCATCCCAACCGTGAAGCACTGGGGTGGCAGCATCATGCTGTGGGGGTGCTTTGCGGCAGGAGGGACTGGTGCACTTCACAAAATAGATGGCATCATGAGGAAGGAAAATTATGTGGATATATTGAAGCAACATCTCAAGACATCAGTCAGGAAGTTAAAGCTTGGTCGCAAATGGGTCTTCCAAATGGACAATGACCCCAAGCATACTTCCAAAGTTGTGGCAAAATGGCTTAAGGACAACAAAGTCAAGGTATTGGAGTGGCCATCACAAAGCCCTGACCTCAATCCTATAGAACATTTGTGGGCAGAACTGAAAAAGCATGTGCAAGCAAGGAGGCCTACAAACCTGACTCAGTTACACCAGCTCTGTCAGGAGGAATGGGCCAAAATTCACCCAACTTATTGTGGGAAGCTTGTGGAAGGCTACCCAAAACGTTTCACCCAAGTTAAACAATTGAAAGGCAATGCCACCAAATACTAATTGAGTGTATGTAAACTTCTGACCCACTGGGAATGTGATGAAAGAAATAAAAGCTGAAATAAATAATTCTCTCTACTATTATTCTGACATTTCACATTCTTAAAATAAAGTGGTGATCCTAACTGACCTAAGACAGGGAATATTTACTAGGATTAAATGTCAGGAATTGTGAAAAACTGAGTTGAAATGTATTTGGGTTGAAAAGGTGTATGTAAACTTCCGACTTCAACTGTAGCTAAAGAGGAAGGTTTTGAAAGGCTGTCTTCATGTCTTCAGGGTCTACTAACAAAGTGAGGACAAAACGCAGAAGAATAGTTGGAGGTAAAAGTTAGGCAAGCTTGGCAAAAGTTGAGTTAGGCAAATAATTCAGAAACCAGAGGAAAGATGGCTATTTTGAAGACCTTTTGAATATAGATAATCAGACTTTAGGATGCAACCTCACATCAGTGTTTTCTACAGAGAGTATAGTGTGTGGTAATTCTAACTACTACAGAAATCCCTCTCCCCCTCTCTTAAGGTGGTTCAACAGATGCGGTGCACTCAGGTCTGGCCCGGCAGGTGTCCAGCCTGCTGACCAACCACCTGGTCAGAGCCACAGAGTGCTGTGGGAACCAGGCAGCAGGGAACGATGCTCTGCAGGACGTCCTCAGCCTGCTCAACGACCTATCCAGGTAACCACTACCAAACAACAGGTCAAATACAGATCAACATCAGTCCTCTTGTGTTCTGTGTTTGTTAAATGACTGTTGTCGCCTTCTAATTATCTATGATTGTCTGGTGTTCCCCCAGGAGCCACATAGGGAAGGCCATCCTGAGCCAGCCAGCCTGTGTGTCCAAGCTCCTGTCCCTGCTGCTGGACCAGCGGCCGTCTCCCAAGCTGGTGCTGATCATCCTGCAGCTGTGCCGTGCTGCCCTACCCCTGATGAGTGTGGAGGACTGTGGCAACGTGGCGCTGCCCTCCTGGAGCTACTCCATCAACACCCTGGATGCTGAGCAGCAGGACGCCACCGACCCCGCCTCGCGAATCGCTGCCCTGCTGCTGGCCAAGCTGGCTGACTACGTAGTACCAGGTACAGTGGCTTGCGAAAGTATTCACCCCCCTTGGCCTTTTTCCTATTTTGTTGCCTTACAACCTGGAATTAAAATTGATTTTTTGGGGGGTTTGTATCTTTTGATTTACACAACATGCGTAGGCTTTGAAGATGCAAAATATTTTTTATTGTGAAACAAAAAACAGAACTTGAGCGTGCATAACTATTCACCCCCCCAAAGTCAATACTTTATAGAGCCACCTTTTGCAGCAATTACAGCTGCAAGTCTCTTGCGGTATGTCTCTATAAGTTTGGCACATCTAACCACTGGGATTTTTGCCCATTCTTCAAGGCAAAACTGCTCCAGCTCCTTCAAGTTGGATGGGTTCCGCTGGTGTACAGCAATCTTTAAGTCATACCACAGATTCTCAATTGGATTGAGGTCTGGGCTTTGACTAGGCCATTCCAAGACATTTAAATGTTTCCCCTTAAACCACTCAAGTGTTGCTTTAGCAGAATGCTTAGGGTCATTGTCCTGCTGGAAGGTGAACCTCCGTCCCAGTCTCAAATCTCTGGAGGACTGAAACAGGTTTCCCTCAAGAATTTCCCTGTATTTAGCGCCATCCATCATTCCTTCAATTCTGACCAGTTTCCCAGTCCCTGCCAATGAAAAACATCCCCATAGCATGATGCTGCCACCACCATGCTTCACTGTGGGGATGGTGTTCTCGGGGTGATGAGAGGTGTTGGGTTTGCACCAGACATAGCGTTTCCTTTGATGGCCAAAAAGCTCAATTTTAGTCTCATCTGACCAGAGTACCTTCTTCCATATGTTTGCGGAGTCTCCCACATGCCTTTTGGCGAACACCAAAGTTGTTTGCTTATTTTTTTCTTTAAGCAATGGCTTTTTTCTGGCAGCTCTTCCGTAAAGCCCAGCTATGTGGAGTGTACGGCTTAAAGTGGTCCTATGGACAGATATTCCAATCTCCGCTGTGGAGCTTTGCAGCTCCTTCAGGGTTATCTTTGGTATCTTTGTTGCCTCTCTGATTAATGCCCTCCTTGCCTGGTCTGTGAGTTTTGGTGGGCGGCCCTCTTTTGGCAAGTTTGTTGTGGTGCCATATTCTTTCAATTTTTTAATATTGGATTTAATGGTGCTCCGTGGGATGTTAAAAGTTTCTGATATTTTTTTATAACCCAACCCTACTTTGTCCCCGACCTGTTTGGAGAGCTCCTTGGTCTTCATGGTGCCGCTTGCTTGGTGGTGCACCTTGTTTAGTGATGTTGCAGACTCTGGGGCCTTTCAGAACAGGTGTGTGTATATATACTGAGATCATGTGACAGATCATGTGTGACTTAGATTGTACACAGGTGGACTTTATTTAACTAATTATGTGACATCTGAAGGTAATTGGTTGCACCATATCTTATTTAGGGGCTTCATAGCAAAGGGGGTGAATACATATGCATGCACCACTTTTCCGTTATTTATTTTTTTCGAATTTTTTGAAACAAGTTATTTTTTTCATTTCACTTCACCAATTTGGACTATTTTGTGTATGTCCATTACATGAAATCCAAATAAAAATCAATTTAAATTACAGGTTGTAATGCAACAAAATAGGAAAAACGCCAAGGGGGATGAATACCTTTACATTTACATTTACATTTTAGTCATTTAGCAGACGCTCTTATCCAGAGCGACTTACAGGAGCAATTAGGGTTAAGTGCCTTGCTCAAGGGCACATTAACGTCATTTAGCAGACGCTCTTAGCCAGAGCGACTCACAAATTGGTGCGTTCACCCTATAGCCAGTGGGATAACCACTTTACAATTTGGGGGGGGGGGGTTAGAAGGAATACTTTATCCTATCCCAGGTATTCCTTAAAGAGGTGGGGTTTCAAATGTCTCCGGAAGGTGGTGAGTGACTCCGCTGTCCTGGCGTCGTGAGGGAGCTGAGCAGTAGTACCTGAGGATAGTGCCCTTTGCAAGGCACTGTAGGAACCTTTGGTCTCGACATGTTGGTCATGAGATATCTGGCCTCTGTTAGACTGCTGTCTCTAACACTGTGTCCCCCACCAGGCTGCCAGACCCTGCTGTCCCCCAGCTCCTCAGAGCCAGACACCAGCCTGAGCCGCTCCAGCCCCAAGGGAACCCTGAAATCAGATAAGGACGCTGGGGAGGAGGGCGAGGCTGTGGATGGCAAACTGTCCATCCTTATCCACAAGAGGGAGGACCAGTCCTCTCACGAGGTGCTACAGCCTCTGCTCAGGTACTCATCGTAATACCTCCTGACACCTTTAACTTAATGTGTGCCAAACCGTCCATGCAGTTTCTCTGACACCTATGCTTTTCCTCCCTGGTGGCCTGCAGCAGCTCAGAAGGCCGGCCGTTCCGCCTTGGAACTGGAGCCAACATGGAGAAGGTGGTGAAGATGGATAGAGACATGACCAAGGTCAGGCCTGTTTAACGTTCTCATGTGGCTGCAAATGTCATTGGGGTGTCACCAAGTCAAAGAAGAATAGTGAATAATTAAACCTAGTCAAGGCATATGTTCATGAATCATACCATTAATCCTGGCTGACCCTTCCCCATTTGTCCCTCTCATTCACCTCACCAGAGTGGTAGCTGTGAGGTGATCACAGAGGAGGCTGTGGCTGCCCTGAGGAAGGCCAGTAAGTGGGCCCAATCTGGGCTGATAGTGAGCGTGGGCCCGCCTGTGGAGGCTCTGGTCCAGGAGGCTGCTGGAGGAGTCACCACGGGGGACAAGAAGAAGACCGCTCAGACCGCTGTGTGTCGGGACAGGAACTCTGAACTGGCCAGGTCAGTCTGACACTCAAGCTGTGCAAGCATTAGATTATGCATTTTTCATAACAGTAATACCAGTGGAATTGAATCTGCGCTGAATCTGCTGCACTAGTTCTAGTTAACCAGAGGGGAGAGTGGTTCTAACCGGTCTCCTCTCTTTCCCTCCACTGTTCAGGTCCGACCCGATCAGGCCCTTCATCAGTGGCCATGTGGCCAACAGTATGGCTGCTGAGGTCATCGCCCTGCTGCACAGCCTGCTCACAGCACCCGAGTCCAACACCGCCCAGATCTGGACCAGCACTGCAGAGAAGGTAAAGCACCATCAGAATGCATGGGTTTTAGAGGCCGCTGCAGCCATTCTAAGGTCTACTTGCAGATGCTAGAGCCATGTAATTCTAAGAATATACTGTATATGAAGATCATAGTGATAACACATGGACTTAACGCTACTGATGACTGTGCCAGGTGCTGTCCAGAGCACTGATGTTCATCCCTCAGCTGGGGAAGTATGCCGAGAGCATCCTGGAGAACGGATGCAGCAGCGGCAGGAAGCTGGCTAAACTCCAGGCCATCGGCAGGCAGGCTGTGGCGGCACTCTGCGCCCTTGGAGGCTTCAAGGAGACCATCAAGATTGGCTCAGAGGTCCAGGTGGGTTAGGAGAGGAGCACAAGTTGATAGATCCATTAGATGACTTAGCAACACATGTTGTACCTGGCTCTGTGGTGAAATTAACATGCTGGGTACCTGCAACACTATACCAGGCCAACAGTGCTGTGGGCAGAAAGACTAATAGCAGTGAATGGTCTGCCAGTGCATGTTTCTCATCATGGTCCCTCTGTTCCCTCAGGTGGTGGGTAAAGGAGTGCTGGGCAGCGTGGGTGTGGTCATGTCCATCAACGAGCAGGAGGGCATTGCCACGGTGAAGTTCCCTTCCTGCGAGTTTAGGAAGGCCTGCAAGGCCTCAGACATCCTGACGGTGCCCATCTCCCGCCTTTGCACTCCCCGCTCTGAGGTAAGAGCAGGGAGGGTTAGAGAAGTCAGACACACATGTAACTTGACTGAAAATGATGAAAGTGCTTTAATGTTCGCAAGTAGACTCATTTTATATTCTCTTCTCATCCTTGTCCCTCACCCCTTCCCCTCTCTCTCCCAGGCGCTGCCCCTCTACAAGCTGTCCATCACAGAGAAGGTGGTGCAGGCAGTACAGTCCATGCTTCTGCCACAGGAGGGCAGTCTGTCCATCCACACCTCCCTCCCCGCCTCAGGAGATGGCTCCAGTCCTGTCATGGCCGCTGTCCGCCTGCTGGCTGAAATCAGGACCAGGTAAATCACTACTGAGGACATTATCTTGGTCAAAACTTTTTGCTGCTCCGACAAGTGTGTCTCTGCACTAGGGCTGTGGCGGTCATGACATTTTAAGTGCCTGTCTCAAGCTAATTGACCGGCAATTAACATATAAACACATTTAGCATCTCCAGGCCTCCACGCATACAAGCAGCATACAAGCCGCTGATGGCACCTTTGGAACATCTTCATTTAAAAAAGTATAATAAGTCAATTTAATATACACCATCGCAATAAATCCATTATTTATTTTAGGTAGATCTAAAGAAACATTATGATATGAAGAAAGAACAGAATATAACTGTATGTTCTCTGACTTTGCACCATGCTGTATGCTTGTTCATTTAGTAGACAAGATATGCCTATAAGTCCTGTGCCATTATTTAATATTATATTATTTTATAGTAAGAACAATATAATTGAACATAAAGGATATTTTTCCCATTCCGGAGCGAGTGCGCATTTGAAGTGGCTATGTTGAGCGTAAAAGTTATAATTTGAAACAGGTCCTGTGCACTAGATTTAGAGTTATTTGTCAACTTTAGTTGTGAATGATACAAACCTTAGAATGTCTCAGGCTGCACATGCTGTTCTCTCATCAAGTGATCATATTTTCACCCATCAGACTATTCTCAATTAATTATTGTCTTTACTAATATGTCAAATCAGTTTAGATTTAGAATGGCCCTTTATCAAATGGGCAGGAACAGGGGAAAAAAGACATGTCATCTGTATGCACTCCAATAGCGAATGGAGGCCTCTTTCCCGCCTGGTTGTTTTTATACCATGCCGGCTACTCCATCATAGGCTACTCCGATTATTTCACTCCATGCATCAACCACTGTTTGAGGAGCATGCAGCCTCTCTCTGCACGACAGGTGATATTCCACCCAAACTCTGTATGCCATGGGCTCTCCAACCCTGTTCCTGCAGCTACCCAGTGCTTAATTTGGGAAACCAAGTGAAATCTGTTTGGGAACATCGATAGTAACATGTTTTCACAATGAAACATATTTCATTACTGTTGACAGCCCCTCTCTCTGCATGCTCGAGAAAGGAATGAAGGAGTGAGGGGTGGAGATGGAAATGCACGGTGGTGAGATTCTGTAGCTAAACATTATGTGTCAGCCTATTAATTATGAAAATATAAAAAATGCCTTATTACATGGCTATTCAAATACAAATTCACTATAATTGTAGGCCAACTCTGTAAGCCGCCCTGCACAATCAATGAACCAACAGCATCGCCTAGGCCTATATGTTCTCTCCCAGACTCATGGATAGAACATTTTGGAGCGTAGCATAAAGTCCATCCAGTATGCATAATAATACAGTCCACACTCAAAGGCGATTACTATCTTAAATCATTCTTTTTTTTTGATTTCCTTGAGATATATATATATATATACACACACAGTGGGGAGAACAAGTATTTGATACACTGCCGATTTTGCAGGTTTTCCTACTTACAAAGCATGTAGACGTCTGTAATTTTTATCATCGGTACACTTCAACTGTGAGAGACGGAATCTAAAACAAAAATCCAGAAAATCACATTGTATGATTTTTAAGTCATTAATTTGCATTTTATTGCATGACATAAGTATTTGATACATCAGAAAAACAGAAGTTAATATTTGGTACAGAAACCTTTGTTTGCAATTACAGAGATCATATGTTTCCTGTAGGTCTTGACCAGGTTTGCACACACTTCAGCAGGGATTTTGGCCCACTCCTCCATACAGACCTTCTCCAGATCCTTCAGGTTTCGGGGCTGTCGCTGGGCAATACGGACTCTCAGCTCCCTCCAAAGATGTTCTATTGGGTTCAGGTCTGGAGACTGGCTAGGCCACTCCAGGACCTTGAGATGCTTCTTACGGAGCCACTCCTTAGTTGCCCTGGCTGTGTGTTTCTGGTCGTTGTCATGCTGGAAGACCCAGCCACGACCCATCTTCAATGCTCTTACTGAGGGAAGGAGGTTGTTGGCCAAGATCTCGCGATACATGGCCCCATCCATCCTCCCCTCAATACGGTGCAGTCATCCTGTCCCCTTTGCAGAAAAGCATCCCCAAAGAATGATGTTTCCACCTCCATGCTTCACGGTTGGGATGGTGTTCTTGGGGTTGTACTCATCCTTCTTCTTCCTCCAAACACGGCGAGTGGAGTTTAGACCAAAAAGCTCTATTTTTGTCTCATCAGACCACATGACCTTCTCCCATTCCTCCTCTGGATCATCCAGATGGTCATTGGCAAACTTCAGACAGGCCTGGACATGCGCTGGCTTGAGCAGGGGGACCTTGCGTGCGCTGCAGGATTTTAATCCATGACGGCGTAGTGTGTTACTAATGGTTTTCTTTGAGACTGTGGTCCCAGCTCTCTTCAGGTCATTGACCAGGTCCTGCCGTGTAGTTCTGGGCTGATCCCTCACCTTCCTCATGATCATTGATGCCCCACGAGGTGAGATCTTGCATGGAGCCCCAGACCGAGGGTGATTGACCGTCATCTTGAACTTCTTCCATTTTCTAATAATTGCGCCAACAGTTGTTGCCTTCTCACCAAGCTGCTTGCCTATTGTCCTGTAGCCCATCCCAGCCTTGTGCAGGTCTACACATTTATCCCTGATGTCCTTACACAGCTTTCTGGTCTTGGCCATTGTGGAGAGGTTGGAGTCTGTTTGATTGAGTGTGTGGACAGGTGTCTTTTTTATACAGGTAACGAGTTCAAACAGGTGCAGTTAATACAGGTAATGAGTGGAGAACAGGAGGGCTTCTTAATGAAAAACTAACAGGTCTGTGAGAGCCGGAATTCTTACTGGTTGGTAGGTGATCAAATACTTATGTCATGCAATAAAATGCAAATTAATTACTTAAAAATCATACAATGTGATTTTCTAGATTTTTGTTTTAGATTCCATCTCTCACAGTTGAAGTGTACCTATGATAAAAATGACAGACCTCTACATGCTTTGTAAGTAGGAAAACCTGCAAAATCGGCAGTGTATCAAATACTTGTTCTCCCCACTGTACATACATACATACACAGTGGGGAGAACAAGTATTTGATACACTGCCGATTTTGCAGGTTTTCCTACTTACAAAGCATGGTTGGTAGGTGATCAAATACTTATGTCATGCAATAAAATGCAAATTAATGACTTAAAAATCATAATGTGATTTTCTGGATTTTCTCTCACAGTTGAAGTGTACCTATGATAAAAATTACAGACCTCTACATGCTTTGTAAGTAGGAAAACCTGCAAAATCGGCAGTGTTCAAATACTTGTTCTCCCCACTGTATATATATATACAGCTCTGGAAAAAATTAAGAGACCACTGCAAATATTTCTTAAATCAGCATCTCTACATGTATGACTTCCATTCCAGTGTCTGTTTAATTCCAACACAGGCACACCTCATTCTACTGAATTAAGTACTGATTAGGTGATCACCTGAACCAAATCTTATTTAACGAGGAAAAGTATAAAAACCACTGCTGTGGTCATCACTATCCTCTTGCAATAGGACCAGCTGGATGGCAGAAACAGTGCTAATAGTACCTCAAAAGTAATATTAATCAAAAAATAACTATGGAACATTCGAATGTCACTCAACAACCGTAGGATGACATCAAGTGACCTACAAAAAGAATGGCAAACGGCAGCTGGAGTGAAGTGCATGGCGAGGACGGTTCGAAACAGGCTCCTAGGGGCAGGGCTGAAGTCGTGCAAAGCTAGAAAAAAGCCCTTCATCAATGAGAAGCTAGGCTGAGGTTTGCAAAAGACCATAAGGATTGGACCGTAGAGGACTGGAGTAAGGTCATCTTCTCTAATGAGTACAATTTTCAGCTTTGCCCAACACCTGGTCGTCTAACGGTTAGCCGGAGACCTGGAGAGGCCTACAAGCCACAGTGTCTCGCACCCACTGTGAAATTTGGTGGAGGATCGTGATGATCTGGGGGTGCTTCAGCAAGGCTGGAATCCGGCAGATTTGAATCAAGCCACGTACAAGGTTGTCCTGGAAGAAAACTTGCTTCCTTTTGCTCTGACATTGTTCCCCAACTCTGAGGATTGGTTTTTCCAGCAGGACAATGCGCCATGCCACACAGCCAGGTCAATCAAGGTGTGGATGGAGGACCACCAGATCAAGACCCTGTCATATTTGGAATTTGGGAGAAATGTTGTCAGTAGTTTGTAGAATATTTTTTTTTAAACACACATACCTATAAATAGTAAAACCAGAGAAACTGATAATTTTTCAGTGGTCTCTTAATTTTTTCCAGAGCTGTATATATATGTGTGTCCTAGCCCGAAAACCCCCCTGAATTGAATTAAAGATTGGCCTATGCGTATGCATATTATGCAAATTGGGTTTTTGAAGTAATCATCAACTTAAAAAGCACTATCAATTTAGTTGTTAGGCATTGAAACAACATCCAAAATGATGGTCAGGGGAGTACCAGGCCATTAGCGACCTGATGGTCGTTTGCAAGTTGGGTAGGCTACTAACAACGCATGTCCTGAGTGCATAAGAGGAGATTACCGTGACTCAACGGTCACGTGGAATTTTACTGCGGTCATTACTCATGACTGCCGGTGTGGCGGTAATACGGTCACCTCAACAGCCCTACTCTGCACCTGTATGTCATATATTTGTTTTGCTTAGTTAATATTGGGGTTTAAATGTGTGTGTTCCAGGGCATGTCTGGTAATGGCCCAACTCCTGGAGGACAGCTCCTTCTGTGAGGAGTTCATTCAGCATTGTCCTGCTGCTGTGGAGGTGCTCAACCTAGTGGCCCAGGAGTGCAGTCCTGGTGAGTGACCGCCCACTCTCCCCAGTAGCATAGTGCTCAATGACGACACACAACTTTTGCAATGCACCATGACTTTACTGTGATTGTGTGGAAGGAAGTATTGCTCTGTATGGCTGCTGTGTGTGTAACTGTGCTTCTGTGTCGTGCAGGGGAGCGTCTCGGCATGGTTGAGGCACAGTGTGAGCGAGTGAGGATGCTGTACCGAGACTGCGCTCGCCCACCACCCCCTCCCCTCCAGACAGACAGGCGCCAGGTGGGTGTCGCTGTACCATCTCTACTATTGATCTACTGAGATCTACTGATTTAATAATGGACATTAAACCATATTAGGAATTTTTGAGAGATGAAGGAATTCCGATTTAGATTTGTAGGGCCTGTCTCCTAACTCTCTCTGCTCCACTCCATATCTTTCCCTAGCCCAAGGAGATTACATGGTGTCCATCCAGGGTGTACCCTCCTGTGCGTGCCTGCATGTTCTCATCCCGTCTCACCTCCGTCACCTTCCTGGCCGACCCCAGTGCTGGAGGAGGCCTGCCCAGGGGAACCTTCATCTATGCCACCTCACCTGTACCTGTTCAGGTGGGCACCGCTATACTTACTGGATGTCTTGGGAATGGCACTGGGTTTTATATGAATGAAAATTCAGTTTTGCGTGCTTGTGAAGCAGGCTGACTAATTTGGAATCTTAAAATGTCTCTCCCTCTTTTTCCTGTAGGCTCCTTCCTTTTACTGGGAGATAGAGATTGCCTCCTATGGAGACTCGGAAGATGACAGTGGTCCTATTGCGTCTTTCGGCTTTGCCACAGAAGCAGAGAAGAGAGACGGAGCGTGGACCAACCCTGTTGGCACCTGCCTCTTTCATAAGTATGTGTTGATATGGATTTTACAGCTGTAGTCTCTGAGGTTTCCCGCTGCCCTGTCTCTGACTGAGTGCTGACCTTTCTCTCTTTCTTTCCTTTCTGTTTCATCCTACCCCTGTCTCTGTCTCTGTGTTTCACCCTTTCAGTAATGGTAGGGCTGTGCACTATAATGGCTCCAGTCTGCTGCAGTGGAAGAGTGTGAGGCTGGACGTGGCCCTACTTCCTGGTGAGATAGGAAACAATCCTTTTATCTAGTTTCGTAATATCACCTGCCTCCTATTTTTCCCATCATTCATTTTACTTTTTTGCTTATGCCAACCAATGTGTATTGCATATTTATCAGATATTGGTAAAACATCTGATTTTGTATCTTGGATGGTGACAATTCTCTTCCTGCCTATAGGGGATGTTGCGGGCATTGGCTGGGAGCGCTCCGAGGGCACCCCTCCACCCCCTGGCCAGGCCCCTAAAGGGCGGGTCTACTTCACCTACTGTGGCCAGCGCCTCAACCCCTTCCTGGAGGACGTAGCAGGGGGCATGTGGCCTCTGGTGCACATTCAGAAGAAGGTTGGCCTTTATGCCAGGACATGTAAAGCAAGATGAAAAGTCCCATGAATGCAGCTTATGTTTGTAATGGTGTGTTTTTTGTATTTTGTTTAGAACACAAAGATTCGTGCCAACTTCGGTTGCCGGGCTTTTGCGTACGCAGAGGGCCAAGCACACCGCAACGCTGCTGACCTCTGTGTCGACCTGGCAGAAGAAATCAGTGCTAACTTTGAGGCCCTCCCCTTCGCCATGGCATCTGACAGCGACAATGATGCAGGTGCTAGTGTGGCATCTGACTCTGGCTCCCACGGACCCCCCTGTCGGATCGCCGCGGTAGCAGTTGCCCAGCAACGTATGTTCCTATCACCTTCCCCCTTCCTGCACCAAACGCATGTGTCTTAGTTTAAACCTTTGACCTGGTTTGGTGTGCCAGTGCCTGATGTTCTGGTCCCATCCGGTCACTTAACCTAAAATATATTGTTTTACTGTTTGCTGTTTGGTCAACCCCACTACAGCTAACCCTCACCCTCCTCACTGTCTGGTCTGTGTATGTGTGTGCGTCCCAGTTGGTAGCGTTTGTAAGAACTGGCTTTGTTGTTTGTCCTCCCCTGTCGGGACAGAGTACAACAGTGACTCCTCATGCCACTACAAGGTGGAGCTGAGCTACGAGAACCTGGTCACCTCAGGGCCTGGTGCACACCCCCCGCCTATTGCTGATGACGAGAGTGATGACGAGAGTGATGACGATGTCCCAAGGGTGAGTTGAAAGTCTTGCTGAGAAGAGCCTACAAATACCACATTTACTTATCTTTTTTGTATCCAGATTTTTCAGTGGGCATGAATGTACTGCTGCCCCCTCCACCCCCCCACCCCCTCCTCAGGAGGACCACTATGCCCTGCTGGTGAAGGCCTGGGAGACAAAGGTGTTCCCCACCATCCGCCGACGCTTTCGCAACGAGGCAGAGAGGAAGTCTGGTCTGGACCAGATCAAGGGAGCACTGCAGCTGGGTGAGGATTTGGATTCAAAATTGATTCATCTACACACAATACCCCATAATGACATATAGTGAAAACATGTTTTTAGAAATGTTAGCAAATTTATTGAAAATGAAATACAGAAATATCTCATTTTCATAAGTATTCACACCCGTGAGTCAATACATGTTAGAATCACCTTTGGCAGTGATTATAGCCAGAGTCTTTCTGGATAAGTCTCTAAGAGCTTTGCACACCTGGATTGTACAATATTTGCCCATTATTCTTTTAAAAATTATTCAAGCTCTGTCAAGTTGGTTGTTGATTATTGCTAGACAGACATTTTCAAGTCTTGCTATAGATTTGAATTTTTTGTCAAAACTGTAACTAGGCCACTCAGGAACATTCAATGTTGTCTTGGTAAGCAACTCCAGTGTATATTTGGTCTTGTGTTTTAGGTGATTGTCCTGCTGAAAGGTGAATTTGTCTCCCAGTGTCTGTCTTTGCAAGGCATTGGAAAACCTCCCTGGTTTTTGTGGTTGAATCTGTGTCTGAAATTCACTGCTCAACTGAGGGACCTTACAGATAATTGTATGTGTGGGGTACAGAGATAAGTCATTCAAAAATCATGTTAAACACTTATTGCACACAGAATGAGTCCATGCAACTTATTATGTGACTTGTAAGCACATTTTTACTACTTAACTTATTTAGGCTTGCCATAACAAAGGGGTTGAATACTTATTGACTCAAGACATTTCAGCTTTTTCATTTTGTATTAATTTGTAAAAAATTCTAAAAACATTATTCCCCTCTGACATTGTGGAGTATTGTGTGTAGGCGAGGAAGACAATAAATTCAGGCTGTAAAACAACAAAATGTGGAAAAAGTCATGGGGTATGAATACTTTCTGAAGGCACTGGATGTTCAGTTCCTCGTCTGTGCGCGTCTCTGCTCTCGAGCCACTTGGGACACTCACTCACTGAAAACTAGGTGGTAAAAGAGGTGGTAAACCCTGTAGCTCCGTTTTAAAGAGCAACTCCCTATTGACTCTACTGTTTGACCTTTTAAAACAAAGTGAAATATGTTTTTTGACGTTTGTTCTTTTGTGGTGTTTTTATTGTATATGTTTTGCAGGCATGGTTGACATAGCCCGGCAGACAGTGGAGTTCCTGTATGAAGAGAACGGGGGTATCCCCAGGGACCTCTACCTCCCCACCATCGAGGACATCAAGGATGAGGCCAACAAGTTCACCATCGACAAAGTCCGCAAAGGTCCCCTGCACCTGCACCCAACACCATGCTAGAGGCCTCGGTTATTGAACCGTTTCCGTTTTTTTCTGGATCAAAAAGGGGCTTAGGTGGTGGGCGTGGTCGACGCGGCTGAATTTTAGAAAACATTCTAGAGGCCCTCATCTTGGAGGTGTAGAGTAATGTTTACATTTTTAAGCCAATTTCCTGCAGTTCTACACATTTCTCCATGGAGCTTAGAGAAAATGTGGCAGTTTTAACACTGCAATTCTATGCATTTTGCATTGGCTAATGCAGTGTTATTTTGCTCAAATGTAATAACAAAATCAATACTTCTAAGTTTCTTGTTTTTGGAATTTTCAGTTTTCCCTTATTGTCTAGCTTTTATGTTAGTGATTGCTAGTTCTCAAAGATTATAAAAATATATATATAGGTCCATTATCTTTTCTATATAATTTATATCTGGTTTAAGTTTACACTGAAATAGTTTTTCCATCCAGAAATTGTATTTAAAAAAACAATTTGCACTGTTTTGACTTAGGCGACCTGAAAGAATGCTTAGGCGGCCCGCCCAAGGATTTCAATGGCAGAAAAATCCCTGCATTTATGTCACATCAACTTTGACCCTTACTTTAAATACGTTAGTAAACACAGGAGTTTTCCCGATAGCTGGTTTAAACATTAACAGAGCACTATTTTATTTTTAGCATTTTTGTAATATAGATGCATAAACATTATCATTATGAACACTGATATGCTGTAGTGTTACCAGGCTTTGTCCTTACATATGTGTCCTCTTCTCAGGTTTGACGGTGGTCATCCGCTGTCCAGACAGCAACAACACCACAGGCGGAACAGCCCTGCCCAAGTTTGCCATCCGAGGCATGTTGAAAACATTCGGCCTGCACGGAGTGGTTCTGGACGTGGACTCTGTGAGTGTAGAACACCTAACTTCACACTGCATAGAAACAAAGCGGTTAGAAGTTGAGCTTTGTCTCTTTTGACAGTGTGTCAATGGTCTCTCTCACTCATTACTGTGTGTGTATGTCCAGGTGAATGAGCTGGTTCAGGTAGAGACGTACCTGCGCAGTGAGGGGGTGCTGGTGAGATACTGGTATCCCATTGAGATGCTGGAGCGTCCCCCTGCTGGATCCCGCCGTACTGCTGCCAATGGCCTTGTCAATCTAGACAGCAGTAACATCCAGATCCACAGGTAACACACAGACACTAACACTTACACTCCAACACACACGTACACACATTCTGAAATAACACATGGCTAAGAACTGTAAATCATCCTCCGTGGCCTGCTGTGTTTCAGGGAGCTTCTGCGCTGTGAGAGTGCCCTGGCTAGGCTCTACTGCCGCATGGCTCTACTTAACATCTTTGCCCCCAAGAGCCCCCACACCTTCACCCGCCTCTTCCATATCCCAGCCATTCGAGACATCACCCTGGAACACCTGCAGCTGCTGTCCAATCAACTTCTGGCTCCGCCTCTGCCTGGTAAGTGGACTTTCTCTAGATGAGATGATAATCCATAGAAAATAATGGGTTAAATAGAATAAAGTTAGAACAATTAATGGAATAAGAAGGTCTACACTGAAATATATGTTTAAGTGTATGGAGTGATTTGGAGGAGCTCTTTCCATGATCTATGTGCTGTGTTGTTCTCTTTGTCCTGCAGATGGCACCATCAGCTCCAGCTCCATCCTGCTGGCCCAGTCTCTACTCCACAACCTGCAGGGCCAGAGCTGCTCTCCCACAGACCTGTTCTACCAGGGCAATGCACAGCCCATCAGGGAGTGGCTCACCGTGGCCATCACCCGTGCCCTGCATCAGGGGGAGGAGAGCCTGCTGGAGCTCACCAAGCAGATCTGCTGCTTCCTACAGGTTAGCTCTGGATTAACTAATGACCCGAGTCTGTGGCTCAATGTATATTTCCCCAGGGACGAAGATCTTTTGCTTTTAACATAGTTAATCTTGATTTCCCTTGTTCCGTTATGTAGAATGCACCAGAGCAGTTCATCTCAGAGGACTTCCCGGTATCAGAATCAAAGGTCAGCATGGATGTCAACTTCCCGGGTGCTGCCTTCGTGATCGTCTCCTGCAAAGAGAGCCAACTAGGCTGCCGCAAAGAGTGAGCTAATTTAACACAATTACCTTTATCTAAGTTAAACCCATTAACTTTGATGACCCTAGATGTCTTGCAGTTGAGGTTAGTGACCCATTGTCTACCTCTCTCTCTTTCCCTCTCCCCCCCACTAGCTCCTCCCTGTACAAAGCCCCATGGGCGCGGGTCATGGTTTATGGCCTGGGTCACAAGGTGCGCAGGAACGGCCAGCTCAACCTGATGGAGGCGGTGTGCTACCCTCTGGATGCCTCGCCCTCCAACACAGGCCTCACCCCCCCTCCCACCACCAACCAGTACCCCACTGTCATCATCCCCACTGACAAAGTGCACATCAAACTGGGTGAGTGCTTGATCTCCCCTAGTCCTGACTTACAGTAATAGCTTCTTTCAGCATGTGTATGTTCTAAATAGGCACAATTATCGTATAATCGTGTTACCGACAATAACCGTGAACAAAAATAATAATAATAATGTCTTAATACATTAATTTTAGGAAAAGGGGGATTCAACTTCATATTCAAGTAGATATTGTTTACCCAATAGCAGTTTGACATTTTTACATGAAGTGGGTAAAGTTGGTAATAATTTACGAGCAGAACAGCACAGTTGGGAGGAGAAGCTTCATTTCCAAAAGTTGCAAGAGGTCAAAACTATTTGTTTTTTAAACCGGGGTGTCACCAAAACTGTGTTGTATTCATTAGGTATGTCGTAGCTAATTTTCAAAGATGTATTACAAGCTAACAATTATGACAATAACCGTGGCCATTTCAATGACAATTACCGGTAATCACTACCCAAAATTCCATAATCGTCACAGCCCTGGTTCTAATTGTTTCTTTCTGTTTAACATGATTAACATGTATTTATAATAGCTTGTGTATGTTTCACTGTCTCTCTCTCTCTCTCTCTCTCTCTCTCTCGCTCTCTCTCTCTCACAGGGGTGTCGCCCCCTCCTGGTGCGGTGCTAGTGCTGCACTCCCTGCCGCTGGAGTTCCCCCTGGCCATGGCGTTTGCTGAGCAGCTGCTGACGTGGGAGCTAGGTGGGAGCAGTGAGCGCTCTGAGGAGGAGCTGGACACTGTGCCCTCATCTGTGCTGCTGCAGGTAGTGGAGCTGCTGGGTAGGTGCTACACTTCCATAAAATCTATTATCTTTGAAATGTCTGCATCCATGGCCATTAGGTGTCCAACATGTCTGAACATTATTTCCATAACCCTCAGTCCCTTGTTGTGACTAATATTGCATCCTGTTTTGTGCTTGACAACAAGTTGGTCTCCATTTTTAAATAGTTTATTTTACCCCTCTCTCCCTGTCTGTGGTGTTCTAGGTGGCTTGTTATGGACCACAGATCTGGCCCCCTGCATCAAGGAACTCTCCTTCCACCTGCTCGCTGAGCTCTTCCGTAAGATCCACCACCTGGAGCAGCGGAAGAGCCCTGCAGGCCTGTCCAGCTCCATCGCCCTGCTGCTCAACCCCTGCCTGGCTGTGCTCATGGCCCTGCAGACGGAGCTCCGCAAGCTGTACGACCGGGAGACCCAGGGCTGGGTGGCTGCAGGGGCCGGAGCAGGGGGCTCCTCTGGCGGTGGTGGCCTGGCTCTGGGGGCCGAGCAGAGCAGATTCTCCACCTACTTTCACGCCCTGATGGAGGTGTGCCTGGCTGTAGCTGAGGTCACGCTCCCCCACAATGTGGGGTGCTCAGGAGTGGGAGCTCTGTCCTCAACCAGTGCCCCTAACCTCAGCGACTCCTCCTCATCCTCCTCCTCCTCCCCAGGCCAGACCCCCCAGAGCCCCAGCCTGCTCTCCAAGCGTAAGAAGGTGAAGATGAAGAGGGAGCGTGCGGCAGCAGCAGTGGCGGCAGCCTCAGGGAAGAGGGGTTCTGCTGGAGGGGCTCGTCTATCAGAGAGCGACAGTGCCCTGCTCAACATGGCTGGTAGTAAACCTGAGGACATGCTGTGGTTCCACCGTGGCCTCACCCTGCTCATGATCCTGCGTCACCTGGCCAACAAGGACCCCCAGGGGCTGAGTGTTACAAATGATGCTGTGACTGACGCCTGCCAGGCCCTGGTGGGACCTACCGCTCACAGCCGCCTGCTGGTGCTCTCTGGCATCCCCACCCACCTGGAGGAGGCTGTGGTGCGCAGCGCCATCCGCAGGGCCTGCAACGCCCACGGGGGGCTCTTCAAGGATGAGATCTTCATCCCCCTGCAGGAGGACGACCCAAAAAAGTCCAAGGCAGGAGCCGGGGTGTCCACCCCTCTGGATGGCAAAGCAGCCCCCGAGCCTGAGCGTCCCTTCCCCAGCAACGGGAGCAACGAGAGCCCAGACAGCTCCAGCAGTGTGACTCCAGCCATGAGTGTCTCAGCCTCTGCCTCCACGAGCCAGACCTCCATCTGCAGCTCCTCTCAGGGGGGCGTGTCCCGCACCGCCAGTGAACTCTCTGTGGACCAGGATCTGCTGGCTGCCCCACCTCTCACCCCCGCGGCTGCAGCCTCTGCCATCCCCTCCCCACAGCAGGGCCCACTTGATCCCCACACGGTGTCCAGCCAGGAGAGCCTAGATATCTCCCTGTGCAGCACGGGGAGCCTGGGCAGTCTGGGCAGCCTCGGGGAGCCTTTGGACAGCGCAGAAACAGCCTCTGTTTCAGACGGGGGCTCCATGTACACGGTCACCTCTCTGGACAGCAATGCCATCTTGGCCCGGCCCATTAAGGGCTATGCTGTCATAGAGGTGGGTCGCGTACATGAAAACGTAATATATTGTTGATTGTTTTTTTGTTTGAGCTTTGATGGAGACATACTTGCATGTCCTTCCTCTGTTGTGCATATGCTCAATCTAGGTTCGCGCCCGGGCCAAAGTAGAGAAGATCCGCGCTAGCCTCTTCAACAGCAGTGATTTGATTGGCTTATCCAGCCTGGAGGGTGAGGAGGAGCTGATGGAGATGACTAATGAGGAGATCCTCACAGCCTCCAGTGTCAACCAAAGCCTGTTTGACACACAGGGTAGCTCCGCCCTCGAGGACTACTTCCTGGACAAGTCTCTCAGAGGTTGGTAGTAGTATACTCTCTACCTAGGTTTAACCACCTGTACTCTACCAATACTGATAAAGGGGTCATAATCTTTTCTCCTCCTATGTTCCCAGGGGACAAGTTGGTGCCAAGTGCGCGAGATGTGCTGACGGACATTTATAAGAGTTGTGTCCACTCAGAGCAGATGCTGAGCCTCACGCCAGCCAAGCCTGTCAAAGTGTCAGACATCTACCTGAGCAAGGAGCAGATCAACTCCCAGACTCCTGGAAACCTCCTCCACGTCTTCTTCACTCACATACGGCCGCCTAAGAAGGTGCTGGAGGAGCAACTGACGCAGGTTGGTACACCACCCATGAGAGTGCTTGAACACACAACTTTTAATATAGATATTATATGCTTAATTGAGCCTGCTTCATCCACATGATTACACACACAGGCACACACACTCACATATATATGCATCTGCAACCATGTTTGTCTGAGCATTGTTATATGTTCTACAGATTCTGCGTAAATATGGCACCCCCAAGCCTAACAAGAACAAATACAGTAAGGCGGTTAAGGAACAGCACGCATGCAAGGTGGTGAGCACCAAGAGACCCATCACCAAACCACCAACCAAGGAGAGGTCTGTGCTCAACAGTGTCAGGTGAGTTTTGGCCCTCACCACACACACAATGCCACCCTGAAAGCCATTTTCCTAAATAGTTTCCACCCACACTTGAAATTAGAGGCTTGGTAATTGCAGAAAGTAATGGGTTTCAAAATTATACTCCCCCCTAAGATCCTTTTCTCAACGCTTCCCACGCTCAAATGTGTTACTTAAATAGCGAGTCTTTTCAAATTAACTTCTCATATTTAGAAACACAGAATTGCAATAAAAACTCTACCCTGTGGTTTCTTCATCCACTTATAGAAGGAAAATGGAGAGTGATTAAAGTTGGCTTATTATGCATAATCATCATATCAAGACTCATTCAGTATGCTGCCATGTCATCCATGACATGTGTCAGTACTCATTAAGACAGACATTTTCCGTTGGCCCCTGTCCCTGACTTCTTTCCATGTCTATCAGGACTGCATTGAGTGAGAAGAAGAGTGTACTGAAGCCCAAGTCCCCTGAGAAATCCAGGCCTGATGAGAAAGAAACAGAGAAATCTCCTGCCAAGAAGCCTGAAGGTACTGACCACCCTGTACCCTCTCATGTTACCTATCTCTCACTGGAGTTGATTAAGATTTCCCTCAAGTTAGAATTTAGATGACTGTAAATTAATGTATTTATATATGTATAATCTCCTCCCTCACCCTTCTCCGACATAGTCCCAGAGGAGAAGTATCTGACTCTGGAGGGCTTCCATAAGTTTGCTGTGGACCGGGCCAAGCAGGACATCCGTAGCGTGTGGAGGGCCATTCTGGCCTGTGGTTACGACCTCCACTTTGAAAGGTGAGCTTGGTGACACACCACCTAGGTCACATTCTAAGCAGAGTGGGGAACGGAAAACGCATGACTGGAGCAGGTTGTACACTTTCAGAGCATGGAACACACTGTGACTGTTACGTCAACACATCACATGATGTACTCGTAAGAAGAATTTTTTTTGAATCATCTGAATCACACACTATACTGCACTGTGCAGTGTGTAATCAGAGAAAGTCAGCTGGTGTAAGATTAAGCCATATTATGTATGAAGAGGATCTGTTCATATCTAGTGGCTGTTCCCCTTCTCTTCTGTTTCCAGGTGTACCTGTATAGACACGCGTCACGCCCAGAAGGCTTGTAGGAGGTGGAGTCTGGAGATGGACGTAGCATTGGTTCAGTACATCAACAGGCTGTGTGGTCACCTGGCTATCACACCTGCCAGGCTGCACCCCCACGAGGCCTACCTGGAGCCCAGTGACATTGCTGACCCACGCGTGGCCTGTCTCCTCAGTATGTGACCTACTCACTGACAGACCACGTCATCAGTTTACACACACAAGCTATTTTTACATGTTTGTATGGTATTGAACGTCAGTAAACGTGATTGTGAGCGTTTGTTTACATGTACATGGTTAGTGGGTGGGTATGTGTGTTGCTGTGTTCACATTTCCCTTCTCTCTGATGTGTGTGTGCGTGTAGATGTGCCTGTGGAGAGCCTGCGTCTACGCTTTGCTCTACTGCAGTCTCTCAACAACTCCCTGGAGAGTTTCTTCCTGCCGCTGGTGGAGCTGAGACAAACACACACCTACCAGAACAGCATCGCAGCGCTGCTCTGTAGGGCCAAAGGTGACACACACACACACACACACAATAATAACATCTCAGCACAGCTCTATCAGGTCAAAGGCACACAGCAATAGTGCGCTGTATGTGGGTCATTTAAGGAATGGTGTTGTATCAGGACATTGACCTATTGGTACATCTTTAATACGTTTTACATTGTGACTAGCTCTGGGGGTGTATGTGGGGCATATGAACTAGAGGTCTTCATGGGTCAAAAAAGTTGGACACGTTCCGAAATGGATCCGTAGCTTTCGTACCCGACCCGATATGCGTAAATACATTCTTTAATTTTTTCGGAGAACCGTTCCAAATGGACCCGAGGACGGTCAGACCCGTTCCGAAAAGGACCGTAGAAAACAGACCCATGCTGGTTCGGATGCGAGAGACCCGTTCAGATCCAAGAGTAGAAAAAGGGAGAGAAAGAAACCTCCAACTGGGCGCTGCCAGCGCCATCAATAAACAACAATATTGGCCAAAAGATCCACAGTTAATTGTCCTTAAACTGCCTATAACAAATTAAAAATATATATATTTGTTGTTTCGATGTGTGCCATATTAAAAACTTTATAGTGTTATTGTTTTTTACTTTCCTAAAACGATAATTGTCTACCTCACGGTTCAGCTGTCGGAGATTTGACCGCTAAATGCATCAGGGCATTGCATTTGTTATAGGTGTTGACTATATGATATTCATATTTTTTAAAAATGATGTTAACCCTCTAGTGTCTAAGCCCTGTCTAAGCCGGGGGAGGGGTTCTAAGATAACATGGAATTGTTTTAAGATGGTCATACCAAGGATTATTTAGCTATTTAATTTAGAATTTAAAGACCCCTTAAGGTATATATACAGCGGGGAGAACAAGTATTTGATACAATGCCGATTTTGCAGGTTTTCCTACTTACAAAGCATGTAGAGGTCTGTAATTTTTATCATATGTACACTTCAACTGTGAGAGACGGAATCTAAAACAAAAATCCAGAAAATCACATTTGATCACCTACCAACCAGTAAGAATCCGTCTCTCACAGACCTGTTAGTTTTTCTTTAAGAAGCCCTCCTGTTCTCCACTCATTACCTGTATTAACTGCACCTGTTTGAACTGCACCTGTTTGAACTCGTTACCTGTATAAAAGACACCTGTCCACACACTCAATCAAACAGACTCCAACCTCTCCACAATGGCTAAGACCAGAGAGCTGTGTAAGGACATCAGGGATAAAATTGTAGACCTGCACAAGGCTGGGATGGACTACAGGACAATCGGCAAGCAGCTTGGTGAGAAGGCAACAACTGTTGGCGCAATTATTAGAAAATGGAAGAAGTTCAAGATGACGGTCAATCCACTCGGTCTGGGGCTCCATGCAAGATCTCACCTCGTGGGGCATCAATGATCATGAGGAAGGTGAGGGATCAGCCCAGAACTACACGGCAGGACCTGGTCAATTACCTGAAGAGAGCTGGGACCACAGTCTCAAAGAAAACCATTAGTAACACACTACGCCGTCATGGATTAAAATCCTGCAGCGCACGCAAGGTCCCCCTGCTCAAGCCAGCGCATGTCCAGGCCCGTCTGAAGTTTGCCAATGACCATCTGGATGATCCAGAGGAGGAATGGGAGAAGGTCATGTGGTCTGATGAGACAAAAATAGAGCTTTTTGGTCTAAACTCCACTTGCCGTGTTTGGAGGAAGAAGAAGGATGAGTACAACCCCAAGAACACCATCCCAACCGTGAAGCATGGAGGTGGAAACCTCATTCTTTGGGGATGCTTTTCTGCAAAGGGGACAGGACGACTGCACCGTATTGAGGGGAGGATGGATGGGGCCATGTATCACGAGATCTTGGCCAACAACCTCCTTCCCTCAGTAAGAGCATTGAAGATGGGTCGTTGCTGGGTCTTCCAGCATGACAACGACCCGAAACACACAGCCAGGGCAACTAAGGAGTGGCTCCGTAAGAAGCATCTTAAGGTCCTGGAGTGGCCTAGCCAGTCTCCAGATCTGAACCCAATAGAACATCTTTGGAGGGAGCTGAAAGTCCGTATTGCCCAGCGACAGCCCCGAAACCTGAAGGATCTGGAGAAGGTCTGTATGGAGGAGTGGGCCAAAATCCCTGCTGCAGTGTGTGCAAACCTGGTCAAGACCTACAGGAAACGTATGATCTCTGTAATTGCAAACAAAGGTTTCTGTACCAAATATTAAGTTCTGCTTTTCTGATGTATCAAATACTTATGTCATGCAATAAAATGCAAATTAATTACTTAAAAATCATAATGTGATTTTCTGGATTTTCTCTCACAGTTGAAGTGTACCTATGATAAGAATTACAGACCTCTACATGCTTTGTAAGTAGGAAAACCTGCAAAATCGGCAGTGTATCAAATACTTGTTCTCCCCACTGTATATATTTTTAAAAGCAACAAATTGTTGGATGAATTTGGCGTTACTGCTATTAGCCAATATAAACGCATTGAATAACAGATGCACTCAATAGATAGTCCCCTAAAAAATCTAAAGGAAGTTTGTTCTGAAGTGTCTGTCATAAATCTGAGAGATATAAGCAGATCAGGAAACATTTTTTTTTTATATATTTTTTTTATGTATTTATCCCTATATTTTAGGCACTAAACTATCTCCATATATACTTCCATGCATTTTTTAAACTGGTACTGGGGACCTTCAGACGAGTCTTGTGAGGCTTGTGGGCGTCCTTGAGCAAAACGGAGAACACCATCATGTTCGTGAGAGTCTTTCAATAGAGTGGTCAAATAGTTTGTAGGCTAAACTTTCAATAGTTTGTAGGCCAAACTGTTCGGACACCACATAAGATTTTGTGAGAAGACAGATTTTCGTGGATGTCTCATGGTCTGAGAAACACAGCTCTAGCTCTGCCACCTTTCACCGCAGATGCGGAAGGGCGATATCGACGGATGCGATGGATTGAGACGCAGCCCATGCAAAAAAAAACCTAGCCCTAGAGCGACTGAGAGAAAGATGGAGATATCATGCCGCCTTGTTCCCGACATCGACAGATTTCTTTATACTTATCAGATAGGCTACTACTGCTATACATATATAGGCGTACAGAAGGGGGCTTATTCGTTAATTTTCTATCCAAATATTTTTTATATAGTTGAGCATTATATTGTTAGATTAAAGGAGTAACTCTGGTAGGCCTTCCTCACCTCAAGTTCAACTGTCGGAGTCAGTTGGAGTGCCGTTGCGCATTGCCTTCATAGGCCTGCAGTAGCTAAGCCTAATGATAGCCATAGCACTCCAAACCTTCACAAAGTTGCTTAACTTTATTCGGGTAATACCAAAAGTAAGTCAAGTCATTGTTTATAGGGGAAATACGAACAGGTTATTTTATTGTATTGTGGCATTCCAATTAAGTTTAGCATCTTTCCCTCTTTGGTTTTTCCTTTTCATGGTTTGAATGCGAGTAGCATAGTGGGCCTACTGGTAATTGTATTATATTGCGGCAAACACATTACAGCTGGAACTTAATTTGGACAACGAAAATGGCTCAACAGAATAAAACCTTCAAAAACGTTTTTAACAGGCTAGGCCTATATTACGGCTATAACCATCAAAGGTGATTGCTTACTGTAGGCCTACCCAAAAAATGACAGCAATAGGCTAATACTATTTATTTTACAACAGGCCTACTTTTAACCTTAAACTAAATACAAAGCACAAAATGAAAGAGACAACTTGATTTAGCCAATGAAAATGTCTCAACAAAATAAAAAATAAAAATAAAACTTTTTGCATAGGCTATTTAAATAACTGGTTTAGATTATTAAATAGGCCTATAATAATAATAATAATGATTTACAATGATAATAAGAATAATGACTAAACAATTGATGATAAATAAATGAAAGGTAGAAAATTGCATCAAACCTGAATAGCGAGTTGCACACAGTCTATTTGACCACGCCAATATTATTCTCATCTTTGTCCACTATAATATTAAAACGTCCCTGAGGACATTCCCCGTGTCGGTTTCTTTTCACTCTACTCTTTCTTCTCCAACTTTGGTTTTACGTCAATGAAAAAGCACTCTATCTTCGCAATCAACAGTAGCCTAGGCCAAGGTCCCTTTTACCTACTCACTCTCTCTCTCTCTTTTGCTCGGGTCTCGGGTCGGATCTCTGAATTTCGGGTCTGTTGAAACTGTGAAGACCTCTAATATGAACTGGATTAAAGCAGAGTCTTGCTGACCTTCCACCCATTCTACCTCCACCCTATCTCTATACAGGCCTGGTGTTCTATGATACCAAAGTGATAGTGATGAACCAGGTGCTGAATGCCACAGTACAGCGAACTGCAGACCACGCTGCCCCCGAGATCACGCTGGACCCCCTGGAGATTGTAGGAGGTGAGCTCATAGGACAAGCCCAGAGTCCTGTTTTATGTTCATTCACGTTATGCCCTCTACTTTGAGTGTTGATGGTGTGTGTGTGTTTCTCCAGGAGAGATCCCTTTGTCAGAGAACACCTACTTTTGCCAGGCGGCACGCCAGCTGGCCTGTGTGCCATCGTCCCAGCTGTGTGTGAAGCTGGCCAGTGGAGGAGACCCCACCTATGCCTTCAACATCCGCTTCACTGGAGAGGAGGTCCACGGCACCAGTTAGTATCAACCTTCTTCCCCTAACATTGTCCTCTAGGAATTAGCTCTAGTGTTTGATCAGACTGAAGGTGAAACACTGTCTGTTGACCGCTGACCTCTGTGTCTCCCCAGGCGGCTCCTTCCGTCATTTCCTGTGGCAGGTGTGTAAGGAACTCCAGAGCTCCGCCCTCTCCCTGCTGCTCCCCTGCCCCAGTGTAGCAGCCAACCGCAACAAGGTACTGTACAGTGACACGCCCATCTGCCTTCTCCCTCAGTATGCCCTGGTTGCAGCACCCTTTTAACACCAGGGAGAAAAGAATGTCCAAATAGTTTGTGTACATTTGTATTAATCCTGCTCCCAACAGTATATACTAGGAGTATAAACCGTGTCTAGATTGCAAACCAGTTGGGCACTGCATGGGCAGTGATCACTGCATTACTGAAGAGTCTAGAAGAGTCTAACTTGATTGTGGTGCTTTTGTGCCGTTTTATTCCAAAGGGGAAGTATATTCTGACGCCCTGTCCGATCAGCTATGCGGAGGAGCAGCTGTTGCACTTCTTTGGCCAGCTGTTGGGCATCGCCATCCGGGCAGACGTGCCCCTGCCCCTGGACCTGCTGGGCTCCTTCTGGAAGGGCCTGGTGGGCGAGCCCCTGGACCCAGAGCAGGACCTGCAGGAGGCCGATCTGCTCACATACAACTACGTCAAGAAGATTGAGAGTGTAAAAGAGAGTCATATAGACAGTCATATGGGCAGTGTTGTTTTCATTGAAACATGTAATGTAGTGACTCCTCTTTCTGGAAAAAGGACAGGTGTTTTGAAAGCTCTGACCAGAAACAACCAATCAGTAGCCTATTGACCAATCCATTTCTACTGTAACTCCATACGGTCACCGCTGACCCTGCTTTCTACAGTTCACATCCAGACTGTAGTTTCTCCATTCCGCTGTCCCCCCTTTTCCCCAAGGTCAGTGTTCCATTGACCTCTACACGACCCTTGCCTTCTGCCCCCCAGGTAAGTGAGGAGGACGATCTGGAGGCCCTGTGTGCAGAGATCTCGTCCCAGTACCACTCAGGAGAAAGCCCCGACTCCCCCAGCCGGCCCTGCTGCACTTTCACCTACATCACAATGACCGGAGAGGAGGTGGAGCTGTGCCAGGGGGGACACAACCTCAGTGTCAGGTACAGGGACATTCTGCCTCTATGGCCAGGGGACTTGCTGAGTTCATATGGGTCTCTATTGATGTACTCTGTGATTCCCTTTAGCCATCAGTTGTTCTCTAAAAATAATTTTGCTCATGTAATCTACAGTACTTTCTGACTTTGACAGAATGTGTTATCTCTGTTTAACCCTCTAGCTGGGAGAATAAGGATATGTATGCGCGGGCATTGCGGGGCCTGCGTCTGCAGGAGCTTCAGAATGTGGAGTGTATGACAGCGGTGCGAGCTGGCCTGGGCTCCATCATCCCCCTGCAGTTGCTCACCATGCTCAGCCCCTTGGAGGTGGAGCTACGAACCTGTGGCCTACCCTACATCAACCTGGAGTTCCTCAAGGTAGCTAACGCATACACCCCACACCCTGCCACCTCAAACCTACTGTACACATCCCCTTCTAAAACCCTAGGACACTCCAATCATCACTCCACCATCCTCATCCTGATCCACCACTAAGAATGAATAGTCACAGCCAGGGCTCTAAAGTGCGACCAGTTTGGTTGCATATGCGACACAATATTTTGCTGTGCGACCTGTAGTTTTACTTTGGGACACCAGTGCGACTTACAGAAAATCCAATACAAAATTAAATGCGTAACAATATTTCGCCGCAACACTCTTCTCTAAACGGTTCAAAAAAGACAGGCTGCCTCCCATGGCTGCTTGCTTCCAGTGCCCAGGCCACACACACAAGCCTCGCCCCATGGCACCCAAGCAGGCAGCACACAGTTCCTCCACACTGTTTATTCTCTCAGCATGCTGTCAATTCATGCACTCAATATATTCTTCCAAAACAAGAATGATGCTGCTTTCCACGTTGCTTCTAAATATGAATCCACGTTTTCTCTATTATACTTTTCATTTGTGTGTCTTGCTCTCTGCAAAATGCGAGTTAGTCTAAGGAAGTTGGCATGTGCCAAAAATAATGCTAATCGCTAATGCTTATCGCTAACTAACTAGTGGCTAGCTAAATGCCATTTAGCTAAATGCACTAGCTAGTACAAAGCAAATGTTAGCTCTAATACGGGTTGCTACTGGTGGTGGTGTAGATCAGCATGTTTGTGCAACGGCATGTTCTGAATCCGATAGCCTATTCTAAATTGTTTGTCTAAATGCAACATCTATTCAAATGTGTTTAGAGCCCCCTGGGAAACACTGACCAACACTTTATGTTCCTACCTTACCCTCCTACCTGACTTTTTCATTTGTTGTCATGCCAAACAACACCAACCATGGAATTAGAATAATCATTCTGTTTCTATGATTTCAACAGTTCACCTAAGTGTTTTGATCTATATCGCAAATCAAATTGCAATATTTGGTTAAAGAAATCACAATTCTATTTTTTGCCCATATCGTGCAGCCCTGGTAAGTTGACCAGTATATGCTAACTTTTGGTGGCACAGAAAGAAAGGAAAAGTGATATTTTCCTCAGGAGATGTGCTTCAAAAGTAAGTAGGATTCATATAGGCCCAATGTAGGCTGTATCTCAATCAATTAAAACATATATTTTTATAGTGCTCCTAAATTCTCTAAGGTAGGAGCACCAGTGCTACAATATTTTGTATTTTATTTAATTTTCTGTTCACAGTATAGAGTAATGAGAAGAATCACTATATTTTTGCAGAGCAGTAATAGTGAATGTCTTTATCATTGTCACTCTTTTGCCTCAACCCCTGTTACCTCTCCGTCTGTAGGCCCACACCATGTACCAGGTGGGTCTGATGGAGACAGACCAGCACATTGAGTTCTTCTGGACTGCCCTGGAGATGTTCACCCAGGAGGAGCTCTGCAAGTTCATCAAGTTTGCCTGTAACCAGGAGCGCATCCCCTTTACCTGCCCCTGCAAGGACGGGGGCCCGGACACCGCCCACGTACCCCCCTACCCCATGAAGATCGCCCCTCCGGACGGGGCAGCAGGTAAGTGCCGGGAAAAGTCAGTGTGTGGTGTGTGTGTCATAGAGAGAGAGAAGGTGTAGTGGGACAACAGACATACAAGTCAAAGCCACGTGTGTTGCTATCTGCTTGTTGTCCTCAAACACTGTCTTCAAACCTTGGACATATTGAACATTTTGTTTGCTATTTTTACCCTTCCTGGATTTATTATGTCTGTAAATTAGTAGGGGTTGTTCTATGGGGAAAAGATACAGAGCGCTTTTCTTAAAACTAATTACGTCCGACCTCTGCTGTGTGTGTTAGGCCTACTGTATAGCCTTAAAATAAGGGAACTGTTTATCAGCTTGTAGTTTATCAAACTCCCAAAAACATTTTATACCCATGTCAGACTCCAATAACAACAGTATGAACAGTAAATTTTGATTAGAGCACATGTAGCTTCCATAGATTAGAGGTAGGTGTCCCTAAACAAGATAGCCTGCTTCTGTTCCAGGCAATAACAATCAGACTATGGGCCATTATTACGTTTACATTTTAGTCATTTAGCAGACACTCTTATCCAGAGCGACTTACAGTTAGTGCATACATTATATATTTTTCCCCCCTGTGGGAATCGAACCCACAACCCTGGCATTGCAAACGCCATGCTCTACCAACTGAGCTACATCCCCTGCCGGCCATTCCCTCCCCTACCCTGGACGACGCTGGGCCAATTGTGCGCCGCCCCATGGGTCTCCCGGTCGCGGCCGGCTACGACAGAGCCTGGATTCGAACCAGGATCTCTAGTGGCACAGCTAGCACTGCGATGCAGTGCCTTAGACCACTGCGCCACTCGGGAGAACATGGGATTGATTGAAAATAACTTTCTAGACTGTACATAATACTCTACGCAGAGCTTAATTTGAATATGGTAGAAGTGCACTTGAGATGTTTAATGTTTTAAAGGTTATATTATACGTGACATTTCCACCTGCAAAATCTATGAAGAAATATAGTTTATGCCTAAAATATTACATGTCGCTCCTTTAATGTTTTTAGATGCTTTTTCTTCCTGCAGTATGTTTACCTATTTGTGTGTTTTCCAGGTTCGCCAGACTCCCGCTACATCCGGGTAGAGACCTGCATGTTTATGGTGAAGCTTCCCCAGTACAGCTCCCTGGATGTGATGCTGGAGAAGCTGCGCTATGCCGTCCACTACCGTGAAGACCCTCTCAGCGGCTAAAGGGACCTGATGGATGGAGTACAGCACCTCCATATGATGCCATTCAACACCAACCATACTATTTCTTACCCATACAGCCCCACCCTCTTACATCCCCACTCCCCATCCCCCACCCACCTTTACCTTCAGCTGGGACCACCCACAGAACAGAAGGCCAACCTGCTTCACCAAGAAGACACTGAAGCTTTTCCTTTTTCGGCTTGTTTTATGTTTGGCTTTGTACCAGCTCTTCATTTCAATAACATTGTAGTCAGGTTGAGCCTTTCAGGAGTTCAGCCCCACTTGCCTTGACACTGATGTTGGTGTCTCTTCTGGTTGCACTGAGTTTTGGAGTGACATTGAGGTGACTCTTTGATCTCTACACACAGTGGGAGGGAGCTGTGACAGGGCACATACCATTTCTGTTTATAGGGAAAGCTACTCTCTCTTCCACCTTATTTCCCCTCATTTTTCTTTATTCTTCCTATCCTCCCTCTCTTTCAGAGGTCCTTGCTGTTCCCCTCCCACTCCCTACCAGAGGGGACTATCTTTCTAAGGCATGCCTTTACCACAAGCACCTCCTCCTCAAAAAGGGGAGGCTCTGTGTGAAAAGGGAACCCTAAATATTCCTCTGGAATGGGTTGAGTATTGTTTGATGTTTGAGATAGAAGTCTACTTAATATCCAAAATGAACTCTATGATGCTGCCTATTTATTACCAGTTCAGCTCTCTGCATTCAAAATGTTGACAAGCGCTGTATAGGTCATTATATAGTTACTGCCTGTAAAGTTGGACTGCTAAAGGACAAAACTAACTATCTGCCTATATATACGATGAATATATTTTATTCAAGTCTATTAAGAGGGTTATATAAGTCATGTATAAAGTTATATTAATCTATTAAGTTGCAGTTTTGAGTTTTTAAGGTATCCTAGTAGCTGTGGCAGAAGGGTAAGGTCACGTACACTGAAGCTGGACTACCAGACTAAAGCTCTACCTGGTTGCCAGATCTGGCCTTCTGTGTTGCTAGATCTCCTATACTTGCATTTCAGGTTGCGAAACCTGTGTTGCTTTGTGAAATTGGAGGGAGATATTCTCCCGAGCTGCTCTCCCACACTGCTTGTGTGCTACTGCTACTGAATCTGTGCTGAATCCCCCAGCCCAACACACAATCACACACCAGGGGGTTGAATTCACTTTAGTTTTGCCTTTTTAGAGATTTCCTGTGACGAATGAGCAGGATTGCTGTTGGGTTTTTAGTTTTATTTGACCCATAACCAAAATGTTTTAGTTGTGTAAAGACTTCACAGAATAAAACATGTAAATAGACTTCTATGTTATATTTGATGGCAGTTTCTTTGAATTGCTGCATCACTTCACCAATTATTTTTTTGTTTTGCTCTGCGCTATTCTTCCAGGGAAAAAATATTATTTAAAAATGAGCTAACTAGGATATTCTGTATTGGATATCCAGTTTGTTGGGTTTATTTTTTTGTACTTTTTTTTTTTTTTTTTAATTACCAGTAATATATCACCTTAATGTCTTGCTGGGCCGGATTACTGAACAAGCACCCCCCCACACACACACGCACAACAACAACAAAAAATAGCATATGATAGCAAAATGTGTAGAATTGCAGGAAATTAGCTTAAAAACTGGAAAACCTTCTCTCAGCCCCTTGGCAAAAAGTGTAGAATTGCAGGAAATTAGCTTTAACATTGAAAACATTTTATCTTAGCCTCATGTCAAAATGTGTAGAATATAATTAAAAACTGCAAATTTTTCTCTGCACCATGGCAAAATGTGTTGAAATGCATTATGTTTTTGGGGATGTCGGTGCCCCGGGGCCCCAAATGCAGTAGTCTGGCCCTGATGTCTTGGAACTCAGATGGATTCTGTCACTCATTCTCTTCTGCTCCATGGTGAAACATGTTTTCTTGTGTGAGTTAAACAGCCATTTGACTTGGATGGGACTTGAAGAACACAACGAGAGCTACAACAAAATATTGGAAGATGGATGTTTGGATTGCTCGCCAATTTAGTTTTGGTTTTGTTCTTTTAAAGGGTAAACCGCTGCTAACAAGGATGCTCTTTCTATTCCTACGAGGAGTAGAAGAGACCATTAAAAAGGACATATCCATACAAAGAGGTGTTGAGATAAGAATGTGTTCTGTACATTTACTTGATATTTATTACAATTATTTATGGTTGCATTAAATTAACTTTTACTGTCTTACCTCTGCACATCAGAAACATAACACAGATCTCTAAAATGCACTATAGAGGTAAAGAATAAGATGGCGTTTGAGATTTCTGTGTCACAATAAAACATGTCTTGATGTAAGCATGTTGTGTTGACTTATTGCTGTTGTGTCAGGACACACGCTCAGGGAAAAACAAAACAAACATAAGACAGGCACTGGACTACAACCCACAAGGAAAGAGAATATCCTGGCAAGAGGCAAAAGCCCTCACACTGAAAAGAGTGAAGTGGTGAGCCATGGTGGACGCCCCTACGCTCCCAAGGAGGTCAAAAGGATTAAGTCAGTATTTTATATATTATAATTTCTTCTATTTGAGTGTTTTCCCCCCAGCCACATTCACTGGCATTTAATCAGTGTAAATCCACTTAAACTGCCAGTCTTTGCTCAGATGTGTGTTTGCCATAGGCTATTCTATCAGATAAATTGTGATGCTTTTCTTCACGCATCAACAAAACCTCAAGAGTTTACCGAAAGGGTGTTGGAAGATAAAGGATCTGCTTATCTTGTGTCCCCACAGACCATTGTGTGAAAGGCTGGGTGCTGACCATGACAGATGAAGCTGGCTACTCTGCTGTGTGTTTTATCTAAGGGTCCTAGCTAGTCCCAACTCCAACACGTGTTACAACACCCCAGCCTGCTATAAAAACCGGACACCTTTTCAGAGCAGCAAGTGCCAGGCCAGTTCCAGCTGGATCTGTGCCTGTCTGACAACTCAGTCACCCTTCTCCACCCTTTGGTACGCTACACATTGTGCCCTGTCACAGGCTATATAAAGCCCAGACTGCATGTATCTTGGGCTGCATGTGAGGAATTCTGAGAATGTTTTGTGCCGGGACTCTTAAGGCAGTTTGGGTCATTTGAAAGGGGGAAGGAAGCCTGTCGTCAGAGGGCCTCTTTCACAGCTGGCTGATCACCTCAAGACCCAGGGCCTGCTGCCTCCTTTTTAACGACCTGCCAGCCAATGAAGAAAGAGAACTGGGTCACAGCCCTCAATAACCGGCCAATTAGATGAGGGAAGGGGGGGAAAAGTTTGACTTCCAGTGTATTCCGTCATCTCAGGCAGGGACACAAATAAGATTAGAGGAGCAACAAGGCCCGTATTGACCTGGCCAAACCACATTCTCACTAAGTGTAACCATCCAAACGCAACTCAACATTTTACATCATTGTGTAACATGAGACAGCACAGGTGTTTGGCGCTTCCCAGTTCATTAGTAATGTCACTAATTCGTTTAAACAAGTTATCATTTTCCTTTTGGGGGTCCTAAGCGAGATTTGGTTGCGGGCATTTTAAAGTGAATTTCCTGCAGTTTACTCATTTTGACATGGGGCAGAGATTTTCTTCACAATTTTATTACACATTTCATGCAATTCTACTTATTTTTCCATTGGGCAGAGATACTTTTTTGCAGTTTTAAAGCAAGTTTTCTGCAGTTCTACACATTTTGCAATGACTTATGCCATGTTAGTCATATCTGAGTGAGCGTGACTAACAAAATCAATGAGTTCAGGGCCCCTGGGTAGGCGCCCTGCATGCCCGGCCGGTATTCAGCCATGATTACTACAAGTTTAGATAACTGGCTAGACTAACTTACCAATCAAAAAATTGTTAGCTGACATGGCTAATTGAGTGACTGTCAGTGACTGACAAAACAAGTTAAAAACTGCTGATGAAAGTTAGAAGTCTCAAAGGATTGTCACATTTGTGATTTACTAGCTGTAATGCAATGTCCTTGGCCACCACCACATTAAGGCTTATGCTGTTTATATACCGGTGAATACAAAAATAATGGTGATTCCTTTTTCCCACATCAAGCACTTAAATGATATTGGGTGATGATGTATTCAAATACATTAGGTATTTGATTTCAGACGCTGAACCCTCAATGTCGTATGATAATTTCTCTCTTGCAAAACTACAATGATGTCTGATTTTGGGTGACTGAAGCCTCCATAATGATGAAAATGCATTTTTGTATGTGTCTGTGTGCTGCAGCATCAATATTATGGCAACTGTTTTTATATTTGACAAATAGCCTAAAGCTTTATGTATATTCAATGGCAGACTATACTATAACGATAAATGACAGTGGCCTCTAAAAGTGCCTTCCGTTTTCTGCACCATCTTATCAAGGGCATAAGGAAAACTCTCCATTCGAACTGGTCATTTATAAGGGTTTTATGACCCTGTAAATTGAGGGATCTTAGAGGACACCTGAAACAAATCCTGACTTGTCAAGATGATCTATAAGATAATATTGATTATCATAACTGTTAAGCTAGACATGTCGACATAGTTTTGCAGTGTAACATGCCTTCTTACTAGACACTTTTGTTATGTCATACCATAACTGGTTGTGACCAGATATCACCAAATGTCCCTTTATAAGACTGACTGTAATTACACTGTCATTCAATTTCACCTGGCATGGTTATTTGCAAAGTTAATCTGGCATGGTATGGTGTTGCTTTGGTACAGCAACGATAAACAGTTTAAAAAGCCACTTGTCTTCCACAGTGGTGGTCATGGATAGGTCGGTGATAGGTCAAGCCTTCAAATGCAGAGTGCTTCAATATATCATCTTTAGGATTGAACCCCTGACCTGCGGTGAACCATATGACTGGCCAATTAGATGCATTTCATGTCTGACATGGCTATTGTTCACAATTTCATCCAATAATAATAATAAATAGGTGATGGTAAGAATGAGAAGTTTCAGTTTAATTTAGTTTAATTTAATTTAGTAGTTTTTATTTATTTATTTGCACACAATAGAACAATGAGTTGAGAAAGTTGAGAAACCCATGGTGGATTTATAAATAAGCCTAACCATAATCTAAATAGTAAATTCATAACACAGATTATAAGAAAAGGTGTTCCAGACAGGATATTCAGGAAAAATAAATATAATTTATTTTTAAATATCACTCATACAGTACAAAAGGGGGTGAAGAAAATACAACCAATTGTATATTTTGCATGAACATAAAACATGCTAAATACAAACAACAATACGACTCTACTTGATTAACTTTAACCCAAGAAGTGAATCATCTAGGTCAGGGGTATTCAACTCTTACCCTACGAGGTCTGGACTACTACTGGTTTTCAGTTATATCTGATATAACTGCACCCATCTGGTGTCCCAGGTCAAAATCAGTCCCTGATTAAAGGGGAAGAATAATTTTTCAAAAGCAGTGGAACTGCCTTCGAGGTTTAGAGTTGAGTTGGAGGGATCTAGGCACAGGAAGCTGCTGAGGGGAGGACAGTTCATAATAATGGCTGAAATGGAGTCAATGGAATGGTGTTGGATATCATTCCATTAATTCCATTCCAGCCATTACTATGAGCCCGTCCTCCCCAATTAAGGTGCCACCGGCCGCCTGTGGATCTAGGTTATTCAATTCAAAGACTACTACTGCCAGATCAGTAGACTATCTGTATGCCTATCAATGCGTATCTATCTTAGCATTAGGCTATTGATGAATCCATAGTCAGTTAATCCTTCAGTCTCAGCCCCTCTCAGGAGTTCAAGAGTACGCCTATACTGAACACAGTCTGGAATGATTTGGCCCCATGGAGTTCATGACTTCTGTTCGGATGCCCTTATTGGTAGTGCCCAATGGAGTAGGGGAGCTACAACTGGAAGGATCGGGGTAATAGAGGAATGGCGTGATGGAAAAGGCTAAGCAGGACCCAAAGCCATCTGTCTGTCTGTCTGTCTGTCTGCCTAGCTAGATGACATGCCCAGCTGCTTCTTCAGTTTCTGGAGCTGTTTCATGCTGATGTTGTTGCCTCCACACACTACGATCACCACAGGTCCCAGGTCTCGCGCCAGCTTGCCCTCCTTCTGCAGTCTTGGGATGATGTCACAGTACACAGCTGCCAGGGCAGCGCCACACGCAGGCTCCACCAGGACCTTCTCATCGTCTGGAGATGGAGGAGGAGGAGGGAGAAATAGGAATTTAGTATCAGAGAGGCTTGTGGGCATGTCTAGGTATAGTAATCATATGACCCTCTACACAGCTGTAGCCTACTGTATGTTATACTCACCAACAAAGCGCTCAACAGCTTTGACAGCCTCCTGGTCTGTGACCAACTCGGAGTAAACTGTGTGTTCGCCAGCAAGTTTCAGGGTCTGTGCAGATACTCTTGTCAGGCCCAACGTGGTGGCAATGCTGTGGAGATGAAAATGATAGAATTGTTGTTGTGCACAGGGCTCGCATTCTTTTTTTGTGCGAAAATATGACTGTTTGGCTGTAATGTTTCAGTGACTCTGGTCTCTCAGTGTGAGGGTGACTCTTACCTTGTGATCTCAGGCAGAGTGATCAACTTCCCAGCCATCATAGCAGCATTGAGACTGTGTGCCCCCACAGTCTCCATAGCTATGACTGGAACATCGTCCCAGCCGGCGCGGCGCAGTCCTTCGACAACCCCATTCATGAGGCCTCCACCGCCAACAGACAACACCATCGCCCCAGGCTTCTCTTGCAGCTCGGACTCCAGCTCCTTCACCAGAGACGCGTGGCCCTCCCTACACACAAACATTGAAAAGAGATTGAAAAAGTGAGTTTTCAGTTTACAAAACACATCATGATGCATTGCAAAACAGTCCTTTGAATCTGCTTTGTATACAGCGTTCTATGTTGGCTGGAATGGAACACTAGCAATCTTTCAAACTTAGCTATGTTGTAAATCGTCCATGAAAAGACATAGGCTGCTGGTTCCATTATAATGCTGCTGATAACAATGAAGTGTATTCAGCTGAGGTGTATAATTAGTGTTTGGCTATGAAATAAACCATAAACATCTGGCTGCCAAAAAGGGTTCAGTAACCTTGTAGAATTAAATTATGTGAAATCCCTCCTCTTGTTAACACCAGCACAAAATTGCATGATAAGATATCCTTCTACATTCTGCCAATCATCCTATCATAGCACAAAGCACGATAACACTCAGGACCCAACACATCATATATGTACATAACAAAATATGCCTTAATGCCAAGTTTCATTTGGACTGGAATAGAGTGGAATGTTTCTTATCCCTTATCAGCTTTCCTCATCATTTCATGGAAGACTCTTACTATTACTAAGATTACACACACAGGGAATAGGGCAACACTGATGTTGCGGAAGTGTATTGATATGGTATCTGTCACTCACCAGATGAGAGGGTCATCAAAGGGAGAGATGAAGATCCATCCAGGGTTGTTGGCCACAAGCTGTTGTCCATATTCAATGCTCTCATTCAGTGCCTTGCCATGAATGACCACATTGGCGCCCTCGTCCCTCAGCCTCTCCACTGTAGGTTTGGGGGTGACACTGGGCACAATGATTGTGGCAGGTACACCAAGTTTACGGGCAGAGTAGGCAGCGGCCATACCAGCATTTCCTCCTGTGATGGAGCAATGATATCGGCCACTTTAGGAAAATGTATACTATACAGAGAGTGCTTGTCTGAAAGATCCCATAAGCATATAGAATTCTGAGATAATTATATGCTTATTGTATTGTGATAAAACATTTAATGGTGATTTCAAGGTAAGGCTGTGATTGGTTGCTCACCTGAACAGCAGACGAATCTCTCGCAGCCTCGCTCGGCCCACTGAAAGACAACAAAGAGCACATGACATGACTCACAGTTCTGTTCCCCTTTACGAGAAGAGCTCAAGGACCACACATTGAAAATCCTGCCCCCCCTCCCCCACATTGCCAAGACAACCCAGTGTTCAGACTTGGACTGACCTACTCAAACTAGTCTGGACTGGTCCTACTGGGAACATGCTATATATATACAATCCCCCTCACCATCCACACCCCCAACCCACTACCCCATGTTGTTTTGCTGCGTACTAGCACAACCTATTATGTAATACCATCACCCAGTCTTATCACAAGCACACCCTCCCTCCACCCACATCCTTTTCCTTTCCTAACTCATGAGCCTAATCTGTAGGTATGGGTGATTCACTCACTGTCTTGCAAAGGTGTCCAATGCCCCTGATCTTGAAGGATCCTGTGGGCTGGGATGAGTCAAGCTTCAGGTAGACAGAGGTGCCTGCCACTTTGGTCAGGGCAAGGCTCTCCCTCAGTGGGGTGGCCACGTGAAGAGCTCTCTCCTGTGGGTTCTTCATTTCTCTAGCTGAGGACAGACAAGTTGAGGAATTAATCTATGTTCCAAGTGTGAACAATGGACATGTATACACAATTAATTCACTATATTTCAATAATTCAATAACTGTATACCTTACTTAAAACAATAAAAACATTGGATAACAAAAAATATGTATATACTGTATAACTGTGAAGGAAGAGCTTAACATCAATAAACTAAGTTCATGCACTTAGTGTTAATTCACAAAGATCAGCAGTGGATCCAAGCATTAGAGGATGAGCTCCATATCAATGAACATCACCCTCATTGAAGGTTGAGTTCAATATCACTCTATTAGCACTACAGAAATAACATCAATATAAACCTATATAAGCAAGCAAGGGAGTAGACTGCCCTTGTCTAAGACAAAATACAAACTTAGGGATGAATACTGAAGAAGAAAAAAACTGGTGGTAAGTGTGTCTTATAACAACCAGACAGGTGCTTATAATAGCATAATTAATTACATTACTATTTCTTACTACAAATTAATTCTTTATTATCATAATTTTATTTAAAAGCACTTACAACGTATAAAATCACTGACCCTATAAATAGAAAATATGAATCAGTCAAACAAGCACATCTGTTTCAGGTTTTAAGACCAAGACAATCAAAGCAAGAATAATTTTCGAAACGTTTTACTTCACCTTAGTAGACTTCTGTTTTAGAGTAAAATGCTAACTTCTCAATAGTCAAGTACAGTGGGAGAGTAGACAGTTCCAGTAGAGGTTTCCCTGATGAGAACTAGACGGTGGATTTATACCTACAGTAGAGGGCTAGGCAGCAGCGACCTCCCTCTGCAACCAATCACCATTGGGCACTCTTCCGCTGTCACAACCCCCCGAATTCCTTTAGACTAGACAGGTGGGGATGTAAGACCTTATGCCACCGAATATGGAATTTGACCCCCTTTTCCTCTAATAAGTAGGCCTAAGTATAAGACAACATAATATATTGTATATTTCTGTCAAATGTATTGATTTAGGATACCAAGGTGATGAGATCAAATTGATTAACTAATATGATCACCTTGACCTTTACATTTCAGCAAAATAGGACTTTATTATAATGAAGCAGATATATCTTTGGAAATTAGTATAAATAGTAACTGTCCTGCATATTAAGATACATTATATTTAGAGTTGCTGGGACAATAGGAACTGTATCATAACTCTTAAATGGGCACCTGAACTTACATCATACCAGGCCTACATTATGTAATAGATCAAACAGATACAAAAATGTTAATGCTGAAATGATGATGCTCAGAATTTGTATAATGGAAACAACGTTATACTCGCCTAATTTCCCCTCCCTATAGTAGGAGAATACCCATTACAAAAGGAAAGCTTTTATTCACCAATGCACGCTTGTGTCTCTGACGGTGTGTAGCCTAATACAGCAATGCATTTCTTAAGAGCATGATATAGAGTCTATTTAACTTTGATATGTTGCAAGAGGCTATTTTACTGTGAGTTGTCCAATCTGGACAGCGAGATTACGGTTCATACGGATCATTCATTCATTTATTTTCAGCATGTTGCCTACAGACAATTTTTACACGGTGTCCTCTGCTCTGGCTTGTTGCAGGGGTCTACACCATCGGCATTGCCAAAAGAGTCGCACCTATTTTGACTGCTCCGCACTACCAAAAGCGGCGGGTTCGACTGTGACATATCCACGAGTGGAATCTGCTCAGCGGCAGCAAATGTCATGTTGACAACTCAAACCTGCCTGATCCGAATCTAAGCCGGATCAGGCAGGGTTTGAGTCGTCGTCAACATGACATTTGCTGCCGCAAGGATATGCATTATAACAAGTATATTCACAGACATTTTTGCTGAAAAGAAATGAATGAATGATCCCTATGAACCGTAATCTCGCTGTCCAGATTGGACAACTCACAGTAAAATAGCCTATTGCAACATATCAAAGTTAAATAGACTATATATCATGCTCTTAAGAAATGCATTGCTGTACACTATTTAACTATTTGCAATCACATAGCACCAACATATTTTAGACCAAGCATTATCTTTAAAGTTATGCATGGACCTCTAAATACAAACATTGAAATAAAGTTATTCTATTCTATCAAATAACATCTGAAAATGGTACTAAATAATGGAAGAATAACAGACCTACTACACTAGGCCATTCAACGATTACGCACATTAATGCAGTCTTCCACAAAGCATTTCCTGTCTCAGCATAAAATGTATGAGTCTGTCGATGAACTAGAAAAAAATTAACATGTTGGTGGAGACGTGATCAATGTCTAAAATCACAACTCGTTATGTGCAGTTCGAATTAGGTAAACGCCGCACACTTCACGTGCGTCTGGAGAGGTTCATGGTCAGAGGACAAAAGATAAACAATCACTGCCAACTGATGGGCATTCTGTCAAATACTGTCTCCATGGTGAGGACATTTGATAAAACAATAGGCCTATGTAAGAGTCATAATCTGAATCTAAACTAGGATGTTTACCTAATGTTTTTCTCAAGTGTTTCTGTCAAGAGAATATTAGGACAGATAGTGCCGATTTAGATAATGGAGTGTCACCTGGAGCGCGCGCAAGTTGCGGTCGCACAGCGTGCGTTATCTGCGTTATCCTGGAATTTGCAACATTTCCCGGGGTTAGACACCGACTACATTTAGGTGGCATGCTGACCCTTAATCCCTTTGAATTAGGCTATGGGGGGGGGCATAGCTTTAGTCAAAGCCATTTTATATTAGGCCTATGTTATAAATGTTTAGGACTATCATATAGCCCAATTTTTGAAGTTTTATCAGTGCAGTTAACACACATGATGGCAAATCGAGAGAGGGAGTCCAGGCTCAGGACAGAGACATCTACAACAGGTCTATAAGTATTTTGGCAGCGTCCTCTGGTGGCCAGTGTACTTTATCCACTGGAATATGAAATAACGGAGTGCTGAGACGGTATTGATGGGACCTAATTTAAGTTTATTATGGGCATACTACCCAAATATACATTCTTCTTCAAAACTATGGCCAAAAGCACATAGGCTATGCCTGCGTAAATATAGACAATTTCAATTGTGGATAGTGGACAACAATATTAAATATAAATGTATGCACTCACTACTGTAATTCGCTCTGGATAAGAGCGTTTGCTAAATGACTAAAATGTAAAATATAATTTGATATAGGATAGTATACAAAGGAAAAAAGGCCTATGGACCATTTCCCCTGAGGAGCACAATTTCGAGAGGCAGGCTATTTACATTCAAATAGTCATTTCTAGGCTCCTTAGGTTGCTGAAACATTGGTCAGTAGGCTATAGGGCAGGGTTGGGCAATAATTTTGTCTCGAGGGCCACATCGGAATTTCAAATTTTATCGGAGGGCCGCGCAGATGTTTTTCCGGAATTATTTGTTTGTCAAAATCAATTTGCGACCCAGAAAAAGGGCAGTTATTTGAAAACTTTTAGGTCCATTATAATTTCTACATACTTTGTATATAGTTGTAGACGTTCAAGAATGACCTGGGCTCGGATTCCGTGCCCTGGAGTGTTTTTTAAACCAGCTAAATTGGTAGAGCATGGCGCTTGCAACGCCAGGGTTGTGGGTTCGTTTCCCACGGGGGGCCAGTATGAAAATGTATGCACTCACTAACTGTAAATCGCTCTGGATACGAGCATCTGCTAAATGACTAAAATGTCAAATGTAAAATAATAACCCCCCCACCCCTATGGGCTATGCCTATATGCATGGAAATTCCTCAATATAATACTGTCAAAAAACTCTATAGGGAATGGCAGAAAGTATCGAACTGCCCTGGCATGCATGGGGACATTGAACAATTCAACACATATTTAGTACGTATTGAGAAGCGTTGCTGGCCATGGAGAAAAAAATCTCTGTCTCTCAAAGAGCATTTCCACTGAGGGTAGGCCAATCAAGGGAGAGAAGCAAGCAGTGACATTCCACAGAGTATTGAAGACTCTTTATATATTCAAGATCAATGTGGTTTGGATTATAATAAATACCACACATTAAACAAATACAAACACTGGTGTAGGGAATGAAGAAATGGTAGGCAAACTCCCCTCTGTCACTAGGTAACCTCCCAGCTAGCACATAATGTTCTAGGAACCATATGTTTCTTAGAGCTTGGTGAGAGCGTGGTTGTCTTATGGTTATTTTGCATAGCCTACAACCTTCCCACAACTTTCTGGGAATGGTGCAGGATAGTTGCTTGGCTTTGGAACATTCTCAGCACATTTAAGGAATTTTCTTGGTATTTCATTACTTTAACAGAACGTTTCCTAAAAGTTCAAACATGGTTACATGTCAATATTGATAATGTTCTAGGAACGTTCTCCAACTGGTTTCACATTGGGAATGTCCTCAAATAGTTCCGAGAACATTTAGAAACAACGTTCTTCTGTGGGAATTTCAGTACTTCAGCATAACTTCTCCTACAGGTTTCCACATGGTTCTATTTAGTCTCGTTCTCACATTGTTATGAGAACGTTAAGAAACAACGTTTTTCTGTGGGAATTTCAGTACTTCAACATAACGTTTCCTACAGGTTTCCTCATGGTTCTATTTAAAGTCATGTTCCCAAATTGTTCTGAGAACATTAAGACGCCTTTCCATAAAAACCACAAGAAAACATTAGTAACGTTCAGAGAACGTTCAAAGAATGTTATTTAAAAACACACTTTCTGTTCTCAGAACGTTAAGAAAACCACAAGAAAACCTTTGTAACATTCAGAGAATGTTCTAAGAATGTTTTAAACATACATTCTGTTCTCAACATAAACAAAACTCTGTCTATCCTCTATCTTGTTAAGTGACTTGGCTAGTTAAATAAAGGTTAAATAAAAACATTATTTTAAAAAGTGTGTTCTTAAAGAGTGCTTGTTGAGGTCTGTTTGAATAGACTAAAATGAACAGCTTTGTATGAGTCAAAAATAAAAACATGGCACGCTAACTCCATCCTGGTGGCGCAATCGACTAATTCCAGGGATAGAGAACAGAAGATCATAGGTTTGAATCCCACTGATGCCGTGCCACAATAAAAAATAAATGTTTTTACACTATTAATGCCTAAGCAAATTAAATTACATGTGTTCTATCTATCTAAGCTAACAGTGTTATTAAAAGTCTTATTGAAACATGTTCTCCGAACGTTATTTAATTAATTTCCGTTCTCAGAACTTTAATCAACCTCCCAGGGAAACTTTCAGGGAACCATAGTAAAACATTCTCAGAACCTCCCTGCAACCTAAGCATTTACGTTCCCAGAACAGGCAACATTTTAAATAAAAAGGTTCAGTTTTACCGGTCAGGAAATGTATGGCTTCGTTCCCAGAACAAATGGGAAACCAAATACTGACGTTCCTACAACTTCCAACGAACCAAATGTGCTAGCTGGGCTGTCTGCCTATTCAGTAAAACTGGCTCCATAAACGTCTGCTCCACAGAAATCCGCTATGGCAACAGGGGAAAAGGCAAAACAGGGGAAAAGGCAAAAAAGGAACAAGAATTTGACAACATGGCGCACTTTCCTTGAGAAAAGTTCCTCTAGAACGCAAACAAACCTATTTTAAGGTGACCTTTTTACAGTTTCTCGACTATCTGACTAAAACCGACAGACTTTGGAAATAACTGAAGACTTATTGGTGTTAAAAAACTCACTTTGCATTACATTAAGTGACGTTTATCATGGGATGAGAGAAACCGTTGTAGAAGCCAAGTAGCCTACATACACACAGGATGGAGAAGCAAGCAACTTTAAAGGAAAAGGTAAACAAACAGAGCACAAAACTGCTGTAAAGTGACATGACTTAAAAT